TACTAAAGTGACTAAAGATACTAAAGTAAGTGACTACAGTGACTAAAGTGACTAAAGTGACTAAAGTGACTAAAGTGACTAAAGTGACTAAAGTTACTAAAGTGACTAAAGTTACTAAAGTTTCTAAAGTGACTAAAGTTACTAAAGTTACTAAAGTTACTAAAGTGACTAAAGTTACTAAAGTTTCTAAAGTGACTGAAGTTACTAAAGTTACTAAAGTTACTAAAGTAAGTGACTACAGTGACCCAAAGTGACCAAAGTGACTAAGTGACTAAAGTGACTAAAGTGACTAAAGTGACTAAAGTGACTAAAGTGACTAAAGTGACTAAAGTTACTAAAGTGACTAAAGTGACTAAAGTTACTAAAGTGACTAAAGTTACTAAAGTTACTAAAGTTTCTAAAGTGACTAAAGTTACTAAAGTTTCTAAAGTGACTAAAGTGACTAAAGTGACTAAAGTTACTAAAGTTACTAAAGTTTCTAAAGTGACTAAAGTGACTAAAGTTACTAAAGTTACTAAAGTTTCTAAAGTGACTAAAGTGACTAAAGTGACTAAAGTTACTAAAGTGACTAAAGTGACTAAAGTGACTAAAGTGACTAAAGTGACTAAAGTTACTAAAGTTTCTAAAGTGACTAAAGTGACTAAAGTGACTAAAGTGACTAAAGTGACTAAAGTTACTAAAGTGTACCTAAAGTTTCTAAAGTGACTAAAGTGACTAAAGTGACTAAAGTGACTAAAGTGACTAAAGTTTCTAAAGTGACTAAAGTGACTAAAGTTACTAAAGTGACTAAAGTGACTAAAGTTACTAAAGTGACTAAAGTGACTAAAGTTACTAAAGTGACTAAAGTTACTAAAGTTACTAAAGTGACTAAAGTTACTAAAGTTACTAAAGTGCTAAGTGACTAAAGTGACTAAAGGTGGACTAAAGTTACTAAAGTGACTAAAGTAGTGACTAAAGTTACTAAAGTGACTAAAGTTCTAAAGTGACTAAAGTTACTAAAGTGACTAAAGTGACTAAAGTGACTAAAGTTACTACAGTTACTACAGTTACTAAAGTTACTAAAGTGACTAAAGTGACTAAAGTGACTACAGTTACTAAAGTTACTAAAGTTACTAAAGAAAGTGACTAAAGTGACTAAAGTTACTAAAGTTACTAAAGTAAGTGACTACAGTGACTAAAGTGACTAAAGTGACTAAAGTGACTACAGTTACTAAAGTTACTAAAGTTACTAAAGAAAGTGACTAAAGTGACTAAAGTTACTAAAGTTACTAAAGTAAGTGACTACAGTGACTGTAAAGTGACTAAAGTGACTAAGTGACTAAAGGTGACTAAAGTGACTAAAGTGACTAAAGTGACTAAAGTTACTAAAGTTACTAAAGTTACTAAAGTTTCTAAAGTGACTAAAGTTACTAAAGTTACTAAAGTGACTAAAGTGACTAAAGTGACTAAAGTTACTAAAGTTACTAAAGTGACTAAAGTTACTAAAGTGACTAAAGTTACTAAAGTAAGTGACTACAGTGACCAAAGTGACCAAAGTGACTAAAGTGACTAAAGTGACTAAAGTGACTAAAGTGACTAAAGTTACTAAAGTGACTAAAGTGACTAAAGGTTACTAAAGTGACTAAAGTGACTAAGTGACTAAAGTTACTAAAGTGACTAAAGATACTAAAGTAAGTGACTACAGTGACTAAAGTGACTAAAGTGACTAAAGTGACTAAAGTGACTAAAGTTACTAAAGTGACTAAAGTTACTAAAGTTTCTAAAGTGACTAAAGTTACTAAAGTTACTAAAGTTACTAAAGTGACTAAAGTTACTAAAGTTTCTAAAGTGACTAAAGTTACTAAAGTTACTAAAGTTACTAAAGTAAGTGACTACAGTGACCAAAGTGACCAAAGTGACTAAAGTGACTAAAGTGACTAAAGTTACTAAAGTGACTAAAGTGACTAAAGTGACTAAAGTGACTAAAGTGACTAAAGTGACTAAAGTTACTAAAGTGACTAAAGTTACTAAAGTTACTAAAGTTTCTAAAGTGACTAAAGTTACTAAAGTTTCTAAAGTGACTAAAGTGACTAAAGTTACTAAAGTTACTAAAGTTACTAAAGTTTCTAAAGTGACTAAAGTGACTAAAGTGACTAAAGTTACTAAAGTTACTAAAGTTTCTAAAGTGACTAAAGTGACTAAAGTGACTAAAGTGACTAAAGTTACTAAAGTACTAAAGTGACTAAAGTGACTAAAGTGACTAAAGTGACTAAAGTTACTAAAGTTACTAAAGTGACTAAAGTTACTAAAGTTCTAAAGTGACAAGACTAAAGTTTACTAAAGTTACTAAAGTAAGTGACTACATGACCAAAGTGACCAAAGTGACTAAAGCGACTAAGTGACTAAAGTGACTAAAGTGACTAAAGTGACTAAAGTGACTAAAGTGACTAAGTGACTAAAGTTACTAAAGTTTTCTAAGTTGACTAAAGTGACTAAAGTGACTAAGTGACTAAAGTGACTAAAGTTTCTAAAGTGACTAAAGTGACTAAAGTGACTAAGTTACTAAAGTTTCTAAAGTGACTAAAGTGACTAAAGTGACTAAAGTGACTAAAGTTACTAAATTTACTAAAGTTTCTAAAGTGACTAAAGTGACTAAAGTGACTAAAGTGACTAAAGTTACTAAAGTTTCTAAAGTGACTAAAGTGACTAAAGTTACTAAAGTTTCTAAAGTGACTAAAGTGACTAAAGTTACTAAAGTGACTAAAGTTACTAAGTTTAAAGTGACTAAAGTTACTAAAGTTACTAAAGTTACTAAGTGACTAAAGTGACTAAAGTGACTAAAGTGACTAAAGTGACTAAAGTTACTAAAGTTTCTAAAGTGACTAAAGTGACTAAAGTTACTAAAGTTTCTAAAGTGACTAAAGTTACTAAAGTTACTAAAGTGACTAAAGTTACTAAAGTTTCTAAAGTGACTAAAGTTACTAAAGTTACTAAAGTTTCTAAAGTGACTAAAGTTACTAAAGTTACTAAAGTTTCTAAAGTGACTAAAGTTACTAAAGTTACTAAAGTTACTAAAGTGACTAAAGTTACTAAAGTTACTAAAGTTACTAAGAAAGTGACTAAAGTGACTAAGTGACTAAAGTTACTAAAGTGACTAAGTTACTAAGTTACTAAAGTTACTAAAGTTTCTAAAGTGACTAAAGTTACTAAAGTTACTAAAGTAAGTGACTAAGTGACTAAGTTACTACAGTTACTAAAGTTACTAAAGTGACTAAAGTGACTAAAGTGACTAAAGTACTAAAGAAAGTGACTAAAGTGACTAAAGTGACTAAAGTTACCTAAGTGACTAAAGTTACTAAAGTACTAAAGTTTCTAAAGTGACTAAAGTAAAAGTACTAAAGTAAGTGACTAAAGTGACTAAAGTTACTAAAGTTACTAAAGTGACTAAAGTGACTAAAGTGACTAAAGTAAGTGACTAATGTAACTAAAGTTACTAAAGTGACTAAAGTTACTAAAGTGACTAAAGTTACTAAAGTTACTAAAGTTACTAAAGTGACTAAAGTGACTAAAGTGACTAAAGTTACTAAAGTTTCTAAAGTGACTAAAGTTACTAAAGTTACTAAAGTAAGTGACTAAAGTTACTAAAGTTACTAAAGTGACTAAAGTGACTAAAGTGACTAAAGTTACTAAAGTTTCTAAAGTGACTAAAGTTACTAAAGTTACTAAAGTAAGTGACTAAAGTGACTAAAGTTACTAAAGTGACTAAAGTGACTAAAGTAAGTGACTAAAGTAACTAAAGTGACTAAAGTGACTACAGTGACTAAAGTGACTAAAGTGACTAAAGTTACTAAAGTTACTAAAGTGACTAAAGTGACTAAAGTAAGTGACTAAAGTGACTAAAGTTACTAAAGTGACTAAAGTGACTAAAGTTACTAAAGTTACTAAAGTTACTAAAGCTACCCTCGTTACTGACTGTAATGGAAACGCAGCTTAAAGTGAGCCGAGCCGAGCCATGGTGAGCCAAGCTAAAACCTGCAGTGGACATGCTGGTCTCACACACAGATGACATGCTGGTCTCACACACAGACTACATGCTGGTCTCACACACAGACTACATGCTGGTCTCACACACAGACTACATGCTGGTCTCACACACAGACGACATGCTGGTCTCACACACAGACTACATGCTGGTCTCACACACAGACGACATGCTGGTCTCACACACAGACTACATGCTGGTCTCACACACAGACGACATGCTGGTCTCACACACAGACTACATGCTGGTCTCACACACAGACGACATGCTGGTCTCACACACAGACTACATGCTGGTCTCACACACAGACTACATGCTGGTCTCACACACAGACGACGTGCTGGTCTCACACACAGACGACGTGCTGGTCTCACACACAGACGACGTGCTGGTCTCACACACAGACTACGTGCTGGTCTCACACACAGACTACGTGCTGGTCTCACACACAGACGACGTGCTGGTCTCACGCACAGACTACGTGCTGGTCTCACGCACAGACTACGTGCTGGTCTCACACACAGATGACGTGCTGGTCTCACACACAGACTACGTGCTGGTCTCACACACAGACTACGTGCTGGTCTCACACACAGACTACGTGCTGGGTCTCACACACAGACTACGTGCTGGTCTCACACACAGACTACGTGCTGGTCTCACACACAGACTACGTGCTGGTCTCACACACAGACTACATGCTGGTCTCACACACAGACTACATGCTGGTCTCACACACAGACTACATGCTGGTCTCACACACAGACTACATGCTGGTCTCACACACAGACTACATGCTGGTCTCACACACAGACTACATGCTGGTCTCACACACAGACTACATGCTGGTCTCACACACAGACTACATGCTGGTCTCACACACAGACAGCTCACCTCTGAAGGTCATTTTACATTTCAACGTATAAAGATGTTTATTGTTGTTATTTTCTCCAGTAAAACTGAATCTGTTTCCTCTCACCTCTTTGGGGCCGCTGTTTTCCCATGGTGCACTGGGCTTCAGGTGCTCCTGCTGGGTCCCGACCTCTGACCTGCAGGAACACAGTCACATGACCACATGACCACAGGGTCACAGGACCACATGATCGCAGGGTCACAGGACCACATGATCGCAGGGTCACATGACCACATGATCGCAGGGTCACATGATCACATGACCACAGGGTCACATGACATTAAGAATAAAAGTCATTCAAAACGGATCCATAGCGTTGCATGTTGCTGCGTGAACAAAGTGTTCTGCTGAGGCTTTATAGCTTTCATAAGAAAAGAAAATCAACATTTTGTCAAAATATAAGTATTTTAGTTTAGTTTAATGATCACATGACTTCATGAAGCCCAATCAGATCTCTCTCTCACCTCTGAACCGCAGGGGGCGCTGTCTGCGTCTCTATTGGTCCGTGTGTGAGACCCGCCCTCTGATTGGCTGGAGCAGAGGAGGCGGAGCAAACTCATTATTTAATAAATAAACAAATAGAAAAATAAACCTCATAATTATGAATCATGGTGTCAGATTACACGAAGCAGAGCGACGCACTGTGTTTCCTGGTTGTTCTGTTTCTCAACAAGCCCACGTTCAGCCGAGGGAGAGCGGGCGAGCGAGAGACACTTCAGAGACGGAGAGAGAGAGAGAGTTTTTATTTTATCAGAAAAATAAAAATCATTAAACTGTAAAAATCATCCTGAGATTTACCTGCTGTGTTTCAGTCTGAAGGTCAACGAGGACATCCTGAGAACATACAGAACTACTGTGAGATCATCTGTGTGTGTGTGTGTGTGTGTGTGTGTGGTGTGTGTGTGTGTGAGTGTGTGTGTGGTGTGTGTGTGTGTGTGTGTGAGTGTGTGAGTGTGTGTGTGTGTGTGTGTGTGTGTGTGTGTGTGTGTGTGTGTGTGTGTGTGTGTGTGTGTGTGTGTGTGTGTGTGTACCTGAAGAAGGCATGATGTTCAACACAACATCTCCACAGACGTTTACAGTCAGATCGATTCAATGTGTGGAAGAAGAAGGATGTCTCTGAGCCCTGAAACACACACACACACACACACACACACACACACACACACACACACACACACACACACACACACACACACACACACACACACACACACTAACGTTAGCAGTTATCAGTATTGTTAGCATTAGCATCGTTAGCAGGGTTACTCACGTTTTTAGCGACTCTGAGTTCGAAGGTTTCGTCTTTGAAATGAAGTTTAGAGATGTTCTGCCTGAAGAAAGATTGATTACTATTATCAGATATTTGTTATTGATTTGTATTATTGTTGTTAATGAAGAATAAATCAAAGAGAGGTGAGAGGTCTCACTCTGAGAGAAATCACACACTTTATATATGCAGCTAACAGAGAAACAAAGAGAGGTGAGAGGTCTCACTCTGAGAGAAATCACACACTTTATATATGCAGCTAACAGAGAAACAAAGAGAGGTGTGAGGTCTCACTCTGAGAGAAATCACACACTTTATATATGCAGCTAACAGAGAAACAAAGATAGGTGTGAGGTCTCACTCTGAGAGAAATCACACACTTTATATATGCAGCTAACAGAGAAACAAAGATAGGTGTGAGGTCTCACTCTGAGAGAAATCACACACTTTATATATGCAGCTAACAGAGAAACAAAGATAGGTGAGAGGTCTCACTCTGAGAGAAATCACACACTTTATATATGCAGCTAACAGAGAAACAAAGATAGGTGTGAGGTCTCACTCTGAGAGAAATCACACACTTTATATATGCAGCTAACAGAGAAACAAAGATAGGTGAGAGGTCTCACTCTGAGAGAAATCACACACTTTATATATGCAGCTAACAGAGAAACAAAGATAGGTCAGAGGTCTCAGTCCTACCAGAGATATTTCCCCAGCAGCTCTCGGCTCCTGTAAACCAGTACAGCAGCCGGCGTGGGACCCAGGAAGTACTCTGTCCCCCCCTCACCCTGAAACACACATTATTACACTGTTAAAGTGCAACTAAATACTTTAATAACACATGTTTTACTTATCTACGAATAAATAGATAAACATGTAAACTGACAAAGACAAAAAGCAAGATATAAAATACAGTAAATATAATAATGAAAGTGTGTATTCTCACGTAGACGGGGAACAGAGAGACTCCGAAGGTCTCCAGAGAGCTGCAGAGGGACAGGAAGTGGCGCTGCGCCTGGGGACCGGAAACACCGCTGCACACACACAGATATATTATATTAAAATACATAAAAAATATAATATAATATATATTAGTATCTCTGTACCTGAGGGTTTCACACAGGGTCTTTATTTCCTCAGTCGGCTCTACGTCGCTGCGCTCTCCTCCATCCACTGCAGGAATACACACAAATAAACACAAATACACACAAATACACACAAATACACACAATACACACAAATACACACAATACACACAAATAAACACAAATACACGCAAATACACGCAAATACACACAAATACACACAAATACACACAATACACACAAATAAACACAAATACACACAAATACACGCAAATACACACGAATACACACAAATACACACAAATAAACACAAATACACACAATACACACAAATACACACAATACACACAAATAAACACAAATACACGCAAATACACACAAATAAACACAAATACACACAAATACACACAAATACACACAATACACACAAATACACACAATACACACAAATAAACACAAATACACGCAAATACACGCAAATACACACAAATACACACAAATACACACAAATACACACAAATACACACAATACACACAAATACACACAATACACACAAATAAACACAAATACACGCAAATACACGCAAATACACACAAATACACACAAATACACACAAATAAACACAAATACATGCAAATACACACAAATAAACACAAATACACGCAAATACACGCAAATAAACACAAATACACACAAATAAAGAAACATATTTTTATAATTGAGATGGAAAGTTTAACTTTCCATCTCAATTATAAAAATAATTTTCCAAGGACTTTTAAACTGATCGAAATAAATAAATGAAGGAAAGAATAAATAACATTTGAAATCAAAGTGTTACCGAGCAGCATCAGGGCGGAGAGGCGGGGCTTCAGGGAGGGGGGGCAGGGGAGGCGGCCATGATGGACGTCCTGACGCACCTGCAGGTAAAACTGACACCTGGGGAACACAGTGACATCACTATGGAACACAGTGACATCACTATGGAACACAGTGACATCACTATGGAACCTAATGACATCACTATGGAACACAGTGAAATCACTATGGAACCTAATGACATCACTATGGAACACAGTGACATCACTATGGAACACAGTGACATCACTATGGAACCTAATGACATCACTATGGAACACAGTGACATCACTATGGAACCTAATGACATCACTATGGAACACAGTGACATCACTATGGAACCTAATGACATCACTATGGAACACAGTGACATCACTATGGAACACAGTGACATCACTATGGAACCTAATGACATCACTATGGAACACAGTGACATCACTATGGAACACAGTGACATCACTATGGAACACAGTGACATCACTATGGAACCTAATGACATCACTATGGAACACAGTGACATCACTATGGAACCTAATGACATCACTATGGAACACAGTGACATCACTACGGAACACAGTGACATCACTACGGAACAAAGTGACATCACTATGGAACACAGTGACATCACTATGGAACACAGTGACATCACTACGGAACACAGTGACATCACTACGGGACACAGTGACATCACTACGGAACACAGTGACATCACTACGGAACACAGTGACATCACTATGGAACCTAATGACATCACTATGGAACACAGTGACATCACTATGGAACACAGTGACATCACTATGGAACACAGTGACATCACTATGGAACCTAATGACATCACTATGGAACACAGTGACATCACTATGGAACACAGTGACATCACTATGGAACCTAATGACATCACTATGGAACACAGTGACATCACTATGGAACACAGTGACATCACTACGGAACACAGTGACATCACTACGGGACACAGTGACATCACTACGGAACACAGTGACATCACTATGGAACCTAATGACATCACTATGGAACACAGTGACATCACTATGGAACACAGTGACATCACTATGGAACCTAATGACATCACTATGGAACACAGTGACATCACTATGTGATTCAAGATGGCGCCTGTGTCGGCTCGCCGCTCGCTAAGCTCTCTAACTTTAGCTATCCTGTTTTTGTTTTATGTTTGTCAGAATGTCTCTGCTCTGCTAGTTTATGATCGCCAAGCTCTCCTCCACCTCAGACCCTCACTGGAGTTGATATTGCTGCCCAAACCGACATCTGGCAACCATAAATCGTCTCCCCCCCCTCTACTGTCGGATATCCCCACTTACCTGCGCAGGTTGCCCTGCATCCTGCCTCGCCGAAAGCGCTTTCGACGACGGGGAAAGCGTGGTGGTGCACTGGTCCATCTGAAGGCATACCTGACGGCTTCTTCTGGGACTTATCCACGCCTCGGATGTCATGGCCCTCCCGCTGCACGCCAAGTGAGAGATCGGTGGATTCGCCCCGTTTTTCCGGAGCTCCGGACTCTGAGGGGCCCGCTGGCAGCTCCTCCTGCCCGACTGACTGCTCCCGGCCCGCGCGGCGTTCAACACGTACATCTTCGTCAGCTGAGACGCACTACACCTTCGGCTAGCCCGGAGCGAAAACTTTGCATGGCTTTGCTAAATGCTAGGTCGATAGCAAACAAAACGTTCCTGCTAAACGACTTCTTCACCTCTCGTGAACTGGATTTGATGTTCCTGACGGAGACCTGGGCTCACGCTGGCGAGTATACACCGTTCTCTGAACTTCTTCCTCCTGACTGTACATTCTTCAGCTCCCCCCGTGCCACTGGCCATGGTGGGGGCATAGCATCAGTGTTTAGAGCTAGCCTCCAATGCCGATTGCTTCACCCTGTATCTAGCTATGCTAGCTTTGAGTTGCAGCTTTTTGAACTGAACCCGGCCTCGCCTATACTCTGCGCAGTCGTGTATCGTCCGCCAAAGTGCAATAAGGATTTCATAAATGACTTTTCTGACTTTCTGTCCGGGATCATGGTGAAATATGATCGTGTTTTGATCTCCGGAGACTTCAATGTCCATGTGTGCTGCGAGTCCAAACCTCTGGTTAGGGACTTTTTAAATCTCCTTGATTCCTTTGGTCTCGTTCAGTCCGTGGCCCAACACACGAAAAGGACACACTTTGGACTTAGTATAATCGTTTGGACTGTCTGTATCTGTGGATGAAATATGTGCAGCAACGTGTATCTCAGACCATTTACCGGTTCTGTTTACAACCTCCATCCCTTCCGCAGGAGTCGAATCACGTGCCCCGGCGCGTCGTCTGCGTTCGATTAACCCCTTGACTGCCTCACAGTTCTCTGATGCTTTTAATGCTTCTCCGATCTGTAAATTAGATGTGAACTGTGCTTTTAATGCTGATGAGCTTATCTCCATGTTTGATTCGACATGTACCCTAATACTGGATTCTGTTGCTCCTTTTACGCTTAGACGCACCAAAGGTCTCTCAGAGCCGTGGCTCAATGACTGTACTCGTGCTCTCAGACGCGCTTGCAGGCGTGCAGAGAGAAAATGGAAAAAGGATAAACTCCATGTCTCCCTAGAAATCCTTCGTGCTTGCCTTTCTGACTACCAGACGGCAGTCAAAGCAGCCGAAACAGAGCACATTTCTCTGTTCATCTCCAAAAACAGCCATAAACCTCAGGTTCTTTTTAATGTCCTCAACTCTATCATTAATCCCTGTGAAGTTTCTTCTATTGTCCCATCGACTACTCTCTGTGATAAGTTTCTTACATTGTTTATTGAAAAAGTATCTGCTCTTAGGCTAGCCCACACTAGTGCTACCCCAGATCCTGCTCCTTTTCTGTGCCCTGCTGTCCTCGACCACTTTGAGCCTGTACCCCTCTCTTCTCTCTCGGATGTAGTCAAGCACCTGCGGCCGACAAACTGCACCTCAGACAGCATTCCCTCTCGCCTTCTCAGAGATGTTTTAGAATCAGTTGGAGCAAGTATTTTATTACTTTTAAACACCTCTCTTACCTCAGGATGTGTCCCAGCTGCCTTCAACCATGCCGTGGTTAAGCCACTCCTTAAAAAGAAAAATCTCGACCCCTCCATTCTCGCAAATTTTAGGCCCATCTCCCAGCTACCTTTTTTATCAAAAGCCCTGGAGCGAGTAGTCTACGCCCAGCTGCAGTCTTTTTTAACCACACATGGAATCCATGAAAAGTTCCAGTCTGGCTTCAAACCCATGCACAGCACTGAAACAGCCCTTTGAAGAGTTTTTAATGATCTGCTCCTAGCCGCCGACTCAGGTAGCCCAGCTGTCCTGGTGCTGTTAGACCTGACAGCTGCCTTTGACACTGTGGACCATAGCATCCTGCTGTCACGGCTTGAACAGTCCGCTGGCATCACAGGCTCTGCCCTTGCATGGTTCAGGTCCTACCTGACAGACCGTAGCTTCTCGGTACAGCTAGGTGCCTTCTCCTCTGCCAAAGCCCCTCTTACCTGTGGGGTTCCCCAAGGCTCGATTCTGGGCCCCATCCTTTTTCTACTGTACATACTGCCCCTAGGTTCAATACTCACAAAACATAATATTCCCTTCCACTGCTACGCCGACGATGTACAGATATATCTGCCTCTCAAAGCAAATGTCACACACTCACTACAGCAGTTGATGGACTGCTTAACAGAGATAAAATCCTGGCTGAGCAAAAACTTCCTCAACCTCAACGAGAGCAAGACTGAGGTCATCTTTTTTGGACCGCAACCTCCAGCCTCTCCGGTTGATATTCTGGGCTCTATCAAAAAAAACATCCTCCCCTCGGTCATGAACCTTGGAGTGACATTCACTAGCACTTTTAAATTTGACAAGCAGGTCAGCACCGTAGTAAAATCCTGCTTTTTTAAAATAAGACTATTGGCCAAAACCAAGTCGTATTTATCTTTTAAAGACTTGGAAAGGGTTATTAACGCCTTTGTAACCTCGAGACTGGACTATTGTAATGCTCTGTATGTGGGTATGGACCAGGCCTCAATTAAACGCCTGCAGCTAGTCCAAAACGCAGCTGCACGTTTGCTGACTGGTCACAAAAAGCGCGACCACATCACCCCTATTCTGGCCTCACTACACTGGCTTCCAGTTCGGTTCAGAATTGATTTTAAAATCCTTTTATTTGTTTTTAAAGCACTAAATGGGCTGGCTCCGGCCTATATAGCTGAACTGCTCCAGCGCTACACCCCAGCCAGAGCTTTAAGGTCTGCTGACCAGCTGCTGCTGGTAGTGCCCAAGACCAGGCTCAAAACCCGAGGGCACCGAGCCTTCTCAGCAGCTGGCCCTAGGCTCTGGAACACTCTGCCCCTCCATGTGAGGTCGGCCCAGACCCTAGGGGTTCTTAAATCTACTCTAAAAACACACTTCTTCTCTCTGGCCTTCTAGTCAGAGCGGAGCACGACTCCTGACTTTTCCCTGTGTTTTATTCTTATTTTGTTTTTTAAGTTATATCTGTTGTAATTTATTGTCGTTTATTGTGTTTTGTAGTAATGTGTTTTTATTACATGTACAGCACTTTGGCTCGACCAAAAATCGCTTTTAAATGTGCTTTATAAATAAAACCTGATTTGATTTGATTTGATTTGACTATGGAACCTAATGACATCACTATGGAACACAGTGACATCACTATGGAACCTAATGACATCACTATGGAACACAGTGACATCACTATGGAACCTAATGACATCACTATGGAACACAGTGACATCACTATGGAACCTAATGACATCACTATGGAACACAGTGACATCACTATGGAACCTAATGACATCACTATGGAACACAGTGACATCACTATGGAACCTAATGACATCACTATGGAACACAGTGACATCACTATGGAACCTAATGACATCACTATGGAACACAGTGACATCACTATGGAATCTAATGACATCACTATGGAACACAGTGACATCACTATGGAACCTAATGACATCACTATGGGACACAATGACATCACTATGTAACACAGTGACATCACTACGGAACACAGTGACATTACTATGGAACACAATGACGTCACTATGGAACACAGTGATGTCACTACGGAACACAGTGACATCACTATGTAACACAGCGACATCACTATGAAACACAATGACATTACTATGGAACACAGTGACATCACTATGGAACCTAATGACATCACTATGTAACAGAGCGACATCACTATGAAACACAGCAACATTACTATGGAACACAATGACTTCACTATGTAACCTAATGATGTCACTATGTAACATAATGATGTCACTATGGAACACAGTGATGTCACTATGGAACCTAATGACATCATTATGTAACATAATGATGTCACTATGTAACCTAATGATGTCACTATATAACCTAATGATGTCACTATGTAACCTAGTGATGTCACTCTGTAACCTAGTGATGTCACTCTGTAACCTAGTGATGTCACTCTGTAACCTAGTGATGTCACTATGTAACCTAGTGATGTCACTAACCTAATGATGTCACTCTGTAACCTAATGATGTCACTCTGTAACCTAGTGATGTCACTCTGTAACCTAGTGATGTCACTCTGTAACCTAGTGATGTCACTATGTAACCTAATGATGTCACTAACCTAATGATGTCACTCTGTAACCTAGTGATGTCACTATGTAACATAATGATGTCACTATGGAACACAGTGATGTCACTATGGAACCTAATGACATCATTATGTAACATAATGATGTCACTATGTAACCTAGTGATGTCACTATGTAACCTAGTGATGTCACTCTGTAACCTAGTGATGTCACTATGTAACCTAGTGATGTCACTCTGTAACCTAGTGATGTCACTATGTAACCTAGTGATGTCACTCTGTAACCTAGTGATGTCACTATGAAACCTAATGATGTCACTAACCTAATGATGTCACTATGTAACCTAGTGATGTCACTCTGTAACCTAGTGATGTCACTATGTAACCTAGTGATGTCACTAACCTAATGATGTCACTCTGTAACCTAGTGATGTCACTCTGTAACCTAGTGATGTCACTCTGTAACCTAGTGATGTCACTATGTAACCTAATGATGTCACTAACCTAATGATGTCACTCTGTAACCTAGTGATGTCACTATGTAACATAATGATGTCACTATGGAACACAGTGATGTCACTATGGAACCTAATGACATCATTATGTAACATAATGATGTCACTATGTAACCTAGTGATGTCACTATGTAACCTAGTGATGTCACTCTGTAACCTAGTGATGTCACTATGTAACCTAGTGATGTCACTCTGTAACCTAGTGATGTCACTATGTAACCTAGTGATGTCACTCTGTAACCTAGTGATGTCACTCTGTAACCTAGTGATGTCACTATGTAACCTAATGATGTCACTAACCTAATGATGTCACTCTGTAACCTAGTGATGTCACTATGTAACCTAGTGATGTCACTCTGTAACCTAGTGATGTCACTATGTAACCTAGTCTACTCTTCAAAGGAACTTTAACCTAACATTATAACATTATAAACCTTACAGCGTAGCTTCGTCCTCCAGCTCCGACGGATCCTGAGCGTAAAACTTCACCCCGAAATAGAAAATGTACGGCGGTCCGACTGTGACGAAACAGAGACAAAGAGAAATTAAATTACGACATTTATTTGTTAAAATGTATTATATCATCATGTAGACAGAAAATGATTTGTTGCTGTTATTGTTTTTAATTCACTTTATATTAAATGAGCTCTAGGTACCGAGGTCTCGATGCTGAGAGAGAGCTTTCTGAGGATCCAACCAGTTCTGCAAAAACACATACAATTATTACTTAAAGTGGACCTATCATGCTATATTTGAATAATATATTGTAGGACCATACCTATATAAAACATGTCTGTGAAGTTTTTTTTTCAAAATACCAAACAGATCATGCATTTTAGCCATGCCTCATTTCGCTCTATTTGCTCTTTTCCAGCCCTGTTTTTGCAAGGGCTGATTCTGTGAGAAGTCTTCTTCGCTGCTTTTGTGGCAGACTACAGCGCCACTTACAGGCCTGGCATATGTACTACAGCGTCTCCAGCGCTTTCGAGCGGCAATGGCCGGCCGTGGCCCAACCCCACATTCCCCTGATAGGTGGAGAGTTGGCCCAATAGCCGTAGCGCCACCGTCCTGACGTCAGGACAGTGTTCAAATCTGGATCAGTTTTTATCAGATCCGTTGCAGCCCCTTTTTTAGAGATTTGGGTATGGAGGAAAATAGAGAGGGTTGTGTTTTCTGACACTTGGTGAGTTCCCTGGAACACCGGGGACACATATTCATGTAGAAAAGACGTACACAAGTGCATTTTGCATGATAGGTCCCCTTTAATCTAATTTATCTCAACTTATCAATAATGTGTGTTTTGTACAGAAAATAATAAAAGAAAATACCTCTTAGAACATAATAACAATAAAACATGAAACTACACTTTTAATACTTCAAACCAATCTAAGTCATTTGTAAAAGAGACGCAGTAGTTGTTAAATATGTTCTCCGTTACCGTCTGCTGGTTTCTGTCGCAGAATCTCAAACCGAAGAATTCGACTTGTGAGATTTTTAGGTGAAAAAACACGAGCCGCAAGATGGCCACCGCCTTGGAAGACTTCTGAGGACATTAAAAAGAGGAGATCAATAAATATATAAAACTACATTATTATTAAAGGACAATAAAACACTTTTATTCATATTATTTGATCTCATATTAATATGAACTCTCACTTTGATGCCCTGCTCTGACGTCAGGCAGAGCTTCCTCTCGTCCAATAGGAGCACTTCTCCATAGAAATCTTCCCGGTTGCCACGGAAACACGCCATCGTTACTAAGCACGAAAGATAGTCGGATAAGTTGAACGAGAAATCAACCAATCAGGAGCTGAGTTACAGAACCAAACACTCCAGACACTAAATGTTTAAATGTTTGTTTGTGTATCCCCCCCCCCCTAATATAAATAAAGGTTATTTATATTGAACCTTTAAAGACAGACGCTATTGTTATTAAAGTTTACCCTCACCTCTTCTCCTCCTGCTCTGACGCTGCTCTGTTGACCTGTTGCCATGGAGACAACCCTCTGGCACCGCCCCCTCCTCTCTGTCTCACTGTTTCGGTTTTTTATTATTTATGTGTATATTCAAACGGTTTCGTTTTCTTGTCAGACTGTCTGAAATATTTGTGTATTTTTTTTTAACTTACTCAAAAAAAACGAGAAACAGAAAATTATGATTATTTTAATTTAAAATGTTAAAGATAAGAGATAACCTTCCCTCTACGCAGGCCCCGCCCCCTTCTTTGTGAAAACACTCGCTGTCATGAAATGGCGGAAAATACAGATTCTGTAGTTTTCATCCATTTCATCAAAACATGAATAAAACCTCCCTTTTTATCCACAAGGAGCCTCATTATGACGTCACACAGGATCAATAGCTCATTATGACGTCACACAGGATCAATAGCTCATTATGACATCACACAGGATCAATAGCTCATTATGACATCACACAGGATCAATAGCTCATTATGACGTCACACAGGATCAATAGCTCATTATGACATCACACAGGATCAATAGCTCATTATGACATCACACAGGATCAATAGCTCATTATGACATCACACAGGATCAATAGCTCATTATGACGTCACACAGGATCAATAGCTCATTATGACGTCACACAGGATCAATAGCTCATTATGACATCACACAGGATCAATAGCTCATTATGACGTCACACAGGATCAATAGCTCATTAGACGTCACACAGGATCAATAGCTCATTATGACATCACAAAACAACACTTCCTGCGGTTTTTCACATTAAAAGCCTTCGTATAAAAAGAAGACAGCAAGACTTTTACTTTGAAAGGTCAGGAGGAAGTGCTGATTTTAACCTTCGACACAAATTATTCCACATGTTTTTACAGCTTCAATACATTTATTTATTTCACAGTTTATCAAAATATGTGTGGATATAAAACATTCACACGCATGATGTCATCAATAATCAATAATCAATAAATAAACCTTTAATTCTGTTTTCAGTATAACTTATCTGTTAAATATATTTTCCTTCAAAATAAAAGTAATTCAGTCAAAATGCCAGGAAGTTCCCACATAGCCTTCAAAATAAAAGCCAGAAGGAACACTAATCCAGTCTTTCACAATAAAAGCCTTTCACATTATTAAACATAGAGGATTTGATATGTTTAAAAATAAAGTACATCTTGGTAGAGATTTCAAAATAAGAGCCAGGCGAAATACATGAACTCTAACGAGGTCTTTCACAATAAAAGTCTTTCAAAACAATAGAGAGGCGAAGTCCCTCCCCTTCCGGGGGACCTCCATGGGACCTTATTTCAGAAAAAGTATGCATTGAAGTCAATGGAGAGAGAAAGATTATCTCTGGATCCCGTTTGAATTGAGCCATGAATTACACATATGATGTTTGTCAATCTAAAAGATTATTTTACAAGTCAAAAAATAAAAATGTGTGGTAAAACTGTGAAGTAACACTTTCTTTGTGTGAAACCGCTCAATGAACTCCATCTCCCGTCTCGCACCACACACCCAGACGGCCGTCACGTTGGCACATCTCACTTCTTTCTTTCAGAATGAGGCGGAAAGTATTAAAAGAGGTGAAAATCACTCCAAGTCTGGGCATGTTGAGAGCTGTACATACACACAAGGGGAGTGAGTCGGTTCCTAAGAGCCAGCATGCGGGACCGGGACTCTGGGATTTGTAGTCTTTCTAGTTGGGTATTTTCCATAGTCTTATATTTCAACAGTTTTACGACAAACTGTGACTTTTTTGACATGGAAATGATTTTTAAAGATTGACAAACATCATATGTGTAATTCATGGTTCAATTCAAACGGGATCCAGAGATAATCTTTCTCTCCCCATTGACTTCAATACATAATTTTTCTGAAATAAGGTCCCATGAGTCCCACCGGAAGGGGAGGGACTTCGCCTCTCTATAAAACACATCAATTCTTCATGAATTTCAAAATAATGTACGCTTTGTTACAGCCTTCAAAATAAAAGCCAGAAGGAATGCACAACAGTAAGTGATGACGCATTTCAGAATAAAAGTTTTTTTTGGTTTCTCATGAAAGTTTTTTCAAAATAAAAGCCATAGCTAAAAGACAATAATAGTAGATTTTCAAAATAAAAGCCATAGAGAAAAGACAATAATAGTAGATTTTCAAAATAAAAGCCATAGAGAAAAGACAATAATAGTACATTTTCAAAATAAAAGCCAGAAGGAATGCACAACAGTGGCCGTTTCTCAATCGCGAGTACGCTTGCTTGGTAGCACAGCCGAGCCGAGCGTCTTGCTTCAGAAGCGAGGCAAGAATACTTCCTGCTATTCGGAAAACAAAGAGTGGAACAGGCTAGCAAGTGTGCAGGTGTGCGTCATATGAGAGGCCCCGCCTCCTTACATCTTCCGCCACAGATTTGGGGAAATTGGTCCATGCGCAAAGCATTGTGGGGATTTTAAGGAGGCGAAGTCTACCCATGTGCAGCCTCGAAATTTCCCCCAAACCAAGGACGCGGCCTCGGTAGAATTCCAAGTATGCTGGAGATTGGAACAGTCCTTCGGCGGCACTCTATGACGTAGCATCCTTGAAATATTGGCTTGGAAGCCAATATCCTCGAGATTGAGAAACGGCCAGTAAGTGATGACGCATTTCAGAATAAAAGTCTTTTTTGGTTTCTCATGAGTCTTTTCAAAATAGCTATAGCTAAAAGACAATAATAGATTTTCAAAATAAAAGCCAGAGGGAAAAGGCCTTGTTTTCTGTTGCTTCTTCAAAATAAGAGCTGAGCTATGACATAAAGTTATAATCCCTTCAAAATAAAGCTTCAGGTCCAGAATTTCATCATCGAACAGGAAATACAAATATATAAATTTTATTAAATAATTTAATTTAAATATTCTTTTTGTTTATATTTGACGAAGACAACAACAACAACAACACGTAAATCTGTAATAATAACATTTACTGTAATAAATTAAACTCATAATTACAAATGTATAAAATAATAAATTAATGATAATCAACAGCAGGGAAATGGAAGCAGCTGATTGGACGAGGATCTACGGCGACAGGTTGCTCAGGCTCTGATTGGTCGAGAGGAAATTACCCATGAAGCTCGGCACCTGCAGGCCCGTCGTCAAGGCGATGCCGCCGCACCAAACCTGCAACGATTTAATACAGTCGGATTATTGTTTAAATAAAGACCTTCAAAATAAAAGTCTGGCATTCAACAAAACGGCAGCGCTTTTTCAAAATAAAAGCTCTAAAACTAAAGCTTCAAATTATGAACTTCAAAATAATTGTTACAAAAAAGAATAATAAAATAAAATCATTATAAAATATTAAAATAATAATAAGATAGTAAAATATTTAAATGATACAAATATCATAAAATATTAAAATAATATCAAGATAATAATAAGATAGTAAAATAATATTAAGATATCAAACACAAGTCTGAGTACTGACGGTGAAGGCGGGGACGAGCGGCTGGCTGAACTTTGTTTTGAAGGAGTGAAGAAGACGAAGACGATCGACGTCGATGAAGATTAAATCTCCTGAAACACAGAGACGTCAACGACTGAATACAAAACTGAAAATATTAACATCATAAATATATAAATATATCGTATAAATAAAGCAGTAGACGGAGAGGCCGTCTGTAAACACAGATTAAAAGTTAGAATAAGAACAGAGCAGAATATCTACCGTTGTCGTAGTCGCAGTAGATTCCGATTCGCTGAGGCAGCGGCCAATCGAGCGCCTTCGCCCGGTTGTTGTGCTTGACAGCGAGCGAGCTCTGCAGCCATTGGCTGGCGTGGAGACACCAGGAACCGGAGCTTTTACCTAATTGGTCGAAGCGTCCCAGGCTGGAGCGATAGGCCACGCCCACACTGAAGGACTTCCAGTCGGCGAGGGGGCGGAGCTCCCAGTAGAGGCCGCCGCCCACCATCTCCTGATCGCCTAGGAGACGGGAGGATGTTTTATTAAACCTTCAAAATAAAGGTCCACTAAACAGGACGGGTTTTCTTTTTCATAAAGATATCAAAATAAAAGCTGGTGAGACTGTTTCTTATTTTATTCTTTATATTTTAAAACCCATATTGTAAAGCATTAGCATTAGCATTGGTTAGCATTCCTCACCCAGCACGGTGTACGACTCTCCGGCGAATCGGTCGCGTGCGCCTCGACTTCCTGCCGTCTTATTGGGCGAGGGCGTGGCGCTCCGGCTGCCGACCAATAAGAACACATCATTTAGTAAAAGATATAAAGAAATATTTAAAACCCTTTAAACTCGTAGAGAGTGAAAGTGAGAAACCAGGAAGTGAAACAGCCAATGAGACGAGTCGAAGCGATGATGAGAAAACGTGAAAAAACTCAAAATATTAATCTAATTGATTTATAATTCTGTAAACAACAAAATACACAACATCTAAATAAATAGAAACAAACAAACAATTAAAATGTTAGTGTTTTAATTTAAGCGACTTTGAGCTTCAGGAAAATCCCATGTATTATTATAATTATAAATCTAAATAAGCTGGATATTAAAATGTAATATGTTATAATATATATATATATATTCACTCTGTTATGAGTTTATTGAAGAGGTTTGTGTTATATGAAACACGTGAACAAAAGGAGCCACAAACAGATCTGAATATTAAATCAGGGTTAGATGATGTCAGCGGTTGCAGTGATGTGATTGGCTGAGTGGAGCAGTGATGTGATTGGCTGAGTGGAGCAGTGATGTGATTGGCTGAGTGGAGCAGTGATGTGATTGGCTGAGTGGAGCAGGAAATGGCGGATGGAGAACGTGATTGGTCAGCGAAGTCGTTTCTACCTGAGCGAGCGGCGGCGACGCGGTACGGAGACTGAAGAGGGACAAAAAGGTCAGCAGCAGAAAGCAAAACCTAAATTAATGACAGTTAAGATGGGGTTCGACCACCTGGGAGGGAAAAGGCAGAAAGGACTACAACTCCCATGATGCTCAGCGGTACCTGCTCTTGTTCTCTTTGCCTCTCAGCCGGGCGTCGTGACCTTTGACCCCCTGCGGCTCCCAGGTCACCGTGTCGCTCTGAACCCTGAGCTCAGCGTGAGCCGACGAGCCGTCAAACACAAAGGCGAACGCTGCGGACATTTAAAATGAATAAGTAATAATATAAAGTTATGCAGAGAATAAATGAAATTAAGCTACGATAAATATTTATATAAAACCACCTGCGGTCAGCACGGCAACCGGCTCGGAGAAGTCGCCGGCGGCCGCTTTGTTCCTCGCTCGAACGCGAACCACCACGAAGCGGGAGTCGAACTTCAGACCTGAGATGGTCGCCTGAGTCTCCTCGATGTCGGGGATTTTTTCCCAGCATGCATCTCCGGCGGCCCTCAGCGAATCCTCTCTGTTCGACTTCCTGTATTCCAGATCGTAGCGTTCGATTCGTCCGTCGTCAGCGTCACCGTCGCCGGCCGGTCGCCAGGCAACCGTGATGTTGTTGTCCCTGGCAACGCAGGAGGGGGCGTCGATCTCCGGAGCTTTGGGGACTGAGAGGGAGATTTTCAAAATAAAATACAGATATTCATCCGGATGACACCGAGCAGGAGACGGTGCACTTTATACATTCATAAAGATTTGGCCGACACACACAAACATTAAAATAAATAATATATTCACTGAAGAAAACAAATTCTGATTCTGACTCTGATATTGATCTGATATTGATCTGATTCTGACTCTGATATTGATCTGATATCGATCTGATATTGATCACCTGGCAGGAAGTGCAGCCTCTGAAGCCCCGCCCTCTCGGCGCTGAAGTCGACTGTGAACTGCGACATTGTCTCCGACGCTGCCGGACGGGTCGCCAGGCGGAACCCCGGGGCCATGGTTACCCTGGCAACGGGGGTTAAACGCTGAGCTTTGATTGGTTTAAAACGTGTTAGTGGTTTTTACTAATTTCATTAAAAGGTAAAATAAAATTAAATTAAAAAAGTGTTGATTAAAAATAAAATAAAACAGAAACAAAGAAAGAGCAAAATAAATAAAATGTTAAAACCTGTCAACATCAAAGTGTTTGTTAACGTATCAAAGGACGGGTTAACGAACCTCTCTTTGATCTGTTTCGCCGCCTGGACAGAAAACACATAAATAACTTTATTATTTGATGTTTGTTTTTAATTGATCTTATTTTTAATGTCCTCCCATCCTACCTTGAGGAACTCTTCTTCGTTGGTGATCGTCAGCGTTTGGTTAGCGAACTCGAGCAGCTCTTCGCCCGAACGTAGGGCGAACTTCCCCTCCGACATCTGCTTCTGAAACACGTTTAATATAATACATTTATACAAATGGTTATTCAGTCAAAGTATTTAAAACAGAGGGAAAATGAATAATAATGAATAATTCCTGATTATAATAAGCGTCTCCACCTGAAGCTCCGCCTCCTTCCTCCGCTTCTCCTCTTTGATGACGTCACGGAGCCCCGCCCCTTTCTCCTCCAGGGCGGAGCTTAGCTCTTCGAGCTCCGCCTCCAGCTCTGACATCACCTTACATGACTCCTCCTGATGGGACAGAACACGTTTTAACTTTAATTCAAAGTAATAAACCATAAGCCCCTCCCCCTTTCTCCCTCTGAGCCAATCAGCTGCTGACCTGCAGGCCCGTCAGCGTGTTGTCGACGGTCTCCAGGAAGGTTTGCAGCTCTTCATTCTTATTGGCTAGCGTGCTGATGATGCGGCACAGAGCTTCCTGTTCAACACACTCAGTATTATAAAGTGGAACAAACTCAGATTCATACTTATCTGTAAGCATTTAAATATATTATAAGATGAAGCTATATATACACTTTAGGAATATTAAAAACTACATAAACTGTTTTTATAACAATTCAAATGTTATTTAATTATATGATCATGTTGTCATAGAGGCTTCATAGAATACTAATACTTAGAGAAAGATGTACAATCTAAATAGTCTATTTGTTGGCAGCTGTTGTTGAACAGGTGCACAGGGTGTGTGTGTGTGTGTGTGTGTGTGTGTGTGTGTGTGTGTGTGTGTGTGTGTGTCACAGGTCGAGTGACTGACAGAGGTCGAGTTACCTGTAGAGTAGCACACCTGATATTAAAACGCACCGACAGCACCACAGCTAGCTGTAGCTGATGCTAATTTTAATCTGAGATCTCATCCAGAGTGAATCACAGGCACAGAGAAGCTAACAGCTAACAGTCTGTACAGAGAGAGATCTCCGTTCATTCCTCTGAGAAGCTGCTCAGTGGCGCATGAAGCTAAGACACCCGGATGTGGGCCGACTGAGCATGCGCAGTGGAGTTTCCCCACACAAAACACACTCGATACTCCTCTATATAGTTATTTCTTTCTGAGGAGGTATATATATTGTTTTTAAATGTAGAAATGTGTATCTTTATTTTATTTAGACAAGATGGACCTTTGTTGATCCCCAGAGGGAGATTCAGGAGCGACAGAGAACAGGCTTCATAATGTTAATACCATTACAAATATAATTATATAAGTAACTTTTAAAACAACCCATCACAAAAAAGTATATATATATATATATATATATCTATCTTTCAATGTAAGTCAAAGGTAGGTCTATTTGGGCCATCATCACGTCACGCTACTTGCAGTACCACCGTTTGGCCACAGCGGCTTCAGCTTCCTGCGGTTTAGGAGCTAACGGCTAACAGCTAACAGCTAATCCTCTGCTCTCTAACCCGCTGAACCCGGAGCAGCTTCACCTGATCAGAGGATCGATGAGTTCACTCACTGACCTTTAACCCTGCTGTCATTAACTCATTAACACATGAACACCTGAACACAGTTACATATCATCCTCCTCACCTTCTGAGAGTCCATCACCTGAGAGGACGCTTTCACAGAGTGACGTCACACATCACAACTTCCGGTGTGGAGTTTCAAAATAAGGGTCTGAAGCTGTCAACAATTCATTTAAACGCTGTGTAAATATATACACCTATATCATGTGTTTAATTCATGCAAATAATAACCCATTATATCAGTATGTAGTGTCTCTACTTTAAAGAGTCCTCTCCTGCTGATGTTCAGGTGTATATCAGTATGTAGTGTCTCTACTTTAAAGAGTCCTCTCCTGCTGATGTTCAGGTGTATATCAGTATGTAGTGTCTCTACTTTAAAGAGTCCTCTCCTGCTGATGTTCAGGTGTATATCAGTATGTAGTGTCTCTACTTTAAAGAGTCCTCTCCTGCTGATGTTCAGGTGTATATCAGTATGTAGTGTCTCTACTTTAAAGAGTCCTCTCCTGCTGATGTTCAGGTGTATATCAGTATGTAGTGTCTCTACTTTAAAGAGTCCTCTCCTGCTGATGTTCAGGTGTATATCAGTATGTAGTGTCTCTACTTTAAAGAGTCCTCTCCTGCTGATGTTCAGGTGTATATCAGTATGTAGTGTCTCTGTTGTGATTGGTCAACGGCTTAGAGATGTCCCGCCCCTTAACCTGTCATGTACAATGTGTAAATAACATCATGTCTTCCACACACACACCGTTTGCAGCTAAAATGTAGATTTTTATTTCATTAAGGTTTCACCAAAGACGTTCTCCTCCAGCACAGACAGTGAGTGACAGCATGAAGAGCACTGAGGAACTCTTTTTGGCAAAAACATTTTTAAATTATGTGCTTCAAAGTTAAAAGGTTTTAAGGTTTTACAGCAATAACTTAATAACAGTGTTATTCAGAGCCACTGAACAGACTCTGACCCCCCCACGCAGCAGGAACCCCCCCAGCTCCTTAGGAATAAATTAGTTTAGGGAGAAACACCTTCAGATCCAGACACACAGGTAATAGCTAGCAGGAACAGCATCATCGATAAGGGGGCGGGGCCATGCAGGGACACAGGCAGGGGGCGGAGCTAAGCGCTACACATGGTTTAGTAGTAGTAGTAGTAGTGGTATAAAAACATAAAAAGTTCATGTAAAGTCATTCATTAAGAAGCTCGACTGACAGGTGGGAGGAGCCAATGAGGCGGGGGGTGAGGGGCGGGGCTTAAATACTTCCTGTACAGTTCACTTCCACCATATCTACACGTTTTAGTCTTTATTCAAACGGACGTCACGATGTACGAGCCGCGCTCCCCCCCCGATCGATCGCCCTCCCCACCTTTAGGTTCCCGCTTCTTGGTGACGGGGGTGGGGATGAGTGAGGGGCGCGTGGGGGGGGTGGTGGTGGAGGAAGAGGAGGAGGAAGAGGAGGTGGTGGTGGTGGTGGGAGGCGTGGGGGGGGGGGCGGAGGAGGTGATGGTGTTGATGATGTCGTTGTTGCTTTTCCTCGGACTCGGGGTGTAATTAAAGGGCGAAACTCGGGCCGCTACAGCGCCGCGAGGCTGGGAGACGCCACGCTGAGGGGGGGTCTGCTGGGGGGGGGTCTGATGCTGAGGGGGGGTCTGTTGTTGTTGATGGGGGGTCTGTTGCAGCGACGGTTGCGAGGGCGGTTGCTGTTTGTCGTCCAGACTCTCGCAGCTGCGCCGCAGGTTGAGGTTGGAGCACGAGGACGAGGTGGAGGACGGGATCTTTGAGGAGGAGGAGGCGGGGCTTATGACGGAGGAGGAAGGGGCGGGGCTTATGATTGGGGGGCCGTTAGGGGAGCGGGGGTTGTTGACGGGACAATCTTCCAATCGCACCCAAACGTCTTCCGCTCGGTCGCTGAAGCCCCGCCCCTCTCCCCCACTCTTCGCCCTCCTCCACGTGCCCTTCCTGTCCTCTTGGCCCCGCCCCTCCTGCCCCTCCTGACTCCTCCCCTTCTCGCTGGACTCTGATGATGCTGACAGGACGGAGGAGGAGCTTCCCGTTCTCTTCCAGGTTCCGACGCGGGGCAGCGAGGTCGAGTGTTTCCCGCCGCCGCTAGCCCCGCCTCCTCCTCCTCCCCCCCCGCTGCTGCTACTCTCCCGCTTCCAGGTGCCGGTGCGGCTGAAGCGTGATGATGATGTCACTTCCTGTGGGCGTGCGGGGCTCTCGTGGCTCCTCTCGGGGCTGGAGGCGGTCTCTCCGTCCTCCATCTTCCTCTTCAGCGTGGGGCTCGGAGCCTCTTTGATGAAAGTCGACTGTCTGACGAGCGCCGGCGGCTTCTCAGACTCCGCCTTCGCTTTCTTCGCTGCCGTCGATCCTCCGACTCGAGACGCCGACTCGCTCCTCGGGATGCCGCCGCTCCTCACCGCCGATCCGCTCTTATTGGTCGTTCTGGACGCTGAAGATGATGAAGACGAAGCACTTCCTGGAGAGGCGGTGCGCGGCGGAAGCAGTTTCCCTCCCTTCTGATTGGCTGAGGAGGAGCGTGAGGGGGTGGAGTCTCGAGAGGAGCCTCGCTCGGGGTCGCTCCCTGGGGGTTTGGCAGCGGGCGCCGCTCGGGGTTGGCTCCGCCCCCTGGCCTCCACCTGAGGTTGGCTCCGCCCCCTGGCCTCCACCTGAGGTTGGCTCCGCCCCCTGGCCTCCACCTGAGGTTGGCTCCGCCCCCTGGCCTCCACACGAGGCTTCCCGGTGATCAGACTCTTGTAAACCTTCTTCCCTCCGCGCAGCGCCTTCGCCTCCTCTTCCTCTTCCTCCTGCTCCTTCTTCTTCTTGGCTTCCAGAGTGCTGCGCTCGCCAGGCTTCAGGATCCGCCCCCCTCGCTTCCCCCCCTCCTCCTTCTCTCCCTCCTCTGCGCTCTGATTGGACGGCGGCGGCAGGCGGAATGGTGATCCAACAGACTTGAGTGACAGCACAGAGTCGGAGTCGGAGGACGGCTGGCGGGACAGCGGCGCGGCGGCGGCGGCGTTCAGGCTGCTGACGATCGAGTTCGCTCCTTCCTGGATCGCCTTCCAATCAAAAGACTCCGAGTCCGGGGAGGCGGGGCTCCGCGGCCCGTCCGAAGGCTCCTCTTCGGCTAATATCCCGTCGTCGTCGTCTTCTTCTTCTTCTTCATCTTCTTCTTCTTCTTTAGGGAGAGACGGCGGCGCGGCGGAACCCTTCTTCTTCTTCTTGGGCATGGCGCTGCTGATGCACTCCTGCAGGAGGTCGTCCTCGGAGTCGATGCTCAGAGACGAGAGAGACGAGTTCCTGGAGAAGCAGACGGGCGTGTCCTCCACGTGGAACGCTCTGGGGGTGTAGCCGCTCGCTGGGGGGCGGGGCTTCTGCTCTTCCTGCAGGGGGGGCGACGTCCTGCCGGCTGTTCCTCCCTCCTGCTGCTCCGGAGGGGGGGGGGCAGCGAACTCCTTGTTGTTGTTCTCCTGGTCGATGTCGCTCAGCGAGCTCAGAGACGAGTTCCTGGAGAAGCAGACGGGCGTGTCCTCGATGCAGAACTTTTGCCGATCGTCCGGCAGGTTGGCGGCGGGTTTTGTTCGGGGAACGACGGCCGCCGTCTGCTGCTTCCTCTTCCTGCCGTCTTCCTCCTTCACTCGCTTCTCTTCGTCCTTCTCGCCGCCTTCGTCTTCGTCGAAGTCGAGCGAGCTGAGTGAGTCGTTGCGTGAGAAGCAGCACGGCGTGCCTTCGATGGGAGTGTAGTGGTGCGGCGAGTCGAAGGTGAAGCCCGGCTTCGCTTTGGCTGCTGTTGCCGCGGAGATGCTGTATGGCGCCCGCGGGGGCATCGGCTTCACCGGAGACGTCGGTTTCCTCTTCTGCTGCTGCGTGCCGAGTAGAGGCGGGGCCGGGGGGGGAAGGGGCGGAGCCTGCAGAGGGGGCGGAGCCTGTATCTCGCCAGGCGCCGCACGGACCGGCTTCCTGGGTCTCGCTTTAGGCATGGCGGCACTGATGCACTCCGCCAAGATGTCGTCACCGTTGTCGCCCTCAGAAGGCCCCGCCCCCCTAAGCCCCGCCCCCCTGCTCTGATTGGAGGGCTGAGCCGCGGGTGCTGCCTCCTCATTGGGCGGCGAGTCGATGGTAAGGTCGCTCAGCGAGGTGGCGGTGGAGAAATTGAGCGGCGTTCCCTCCACGCAGTAAATCCTCGGCACCTCTTCCGATGGACCGTCCTTCCTCTGCTGTGATTGGCTGCGGCCCTGCGGGGGGAGGAGCTTGTAGACAGGAAGCTGGCTGGGTTTCCGTGGCGCCGGCTGCTGTTGCTGCTGTTGTTGTTGTTGTTTCTTTGGTTTCCGTGACGACTTGGGCATGGCCCTCTTGATGCAGGCCTCCAGGATCTCGATGTCGTCGTCGTCGTCCGACTCGTCCAGTTGTCCTTCCTCCTCCTCCCTCTCCTCCCTCTCTTTCCTCTCTTTCCTCTCCTTCCTCTCCTTCATCTCCTCGCTCGCCTCCTCCTCTTCCTCCTTCCTCATCTCCGCCATGATGTAAGGCTCGTCCACACTGAGCGCGCTCAGACTGGACGCTCGGCTGAATCCGTGCGGCGTGCTTTCGGTGGCGAAGTGCAGCATGACGTCGGCGCTGCTCTCCTCCTCCTGCTTCTTCTTCTCCTGTTTGCTGCTGGGCGGCGGCGGCGTCTTGGCGCGGCTCGGAGGCATCGTCTGCCCCGGGCTGTCGGGCAGATCGCTGGGACTCACCACGCCGCTCGGCATGCCGCTGCACGGCTCGCTGCTGCGCACCGACGAGGCGATGGAGGAGGTGGAGAAGCTGTCCAGAGAGCTGACGGAGGTGCAGCGGCTGAACATCAGCGGCGTCTCCTGAGCGTACGGCGGCTCGGGGGGGCTCTTCGGCGTCCGGGCGCCGGATGATGTCACGTGATGATGATGATGGTGGCTGCGTCGCCCCCTAGAGGCGGCGGCGGCGGCGGCAGCAGCAGCGGCGGCGCTGGAGGTCTGACTCTGCGCCTCCTTCTGCTGACGCTGCTGCTCCTCCTTCTCGCTCACAGGAAGCGTGGGGTAGTCGCTGCCCCCCCCCCTCCTCTTCCTCCCATCCTCCTCCTCTTCCTCCGATGACAGCGAGGACAGCGAGGAGCCCCTAGAGAAGCAGATGGGCGTGTCCTCCACGCAGTACGTCTGCGGTGCCTCCTGGCTGCCTTTGGGCGGCGGGCGCTTGGTCGGCGGCGGGGGGCGGAGCTTGTTAGCGGAGGATGGCGGGGGAGGGGGTGCTGAGGGGGGGGCGCTCTCCTCAGGTTTGAACAGAGGTTTGCGGGTCACGTCGGCGCCATACTTCAGGCTGTAGTCGATCGGCTGCTCCGGTGCCGCCTCGCCGCTGTAGTTTGATGTTGCCGTGGCGACATAGCGCTGCGGCGGAGCGGACGCCATGCGGTTCCCTTTGGGGGCCGGGTCACCGCGGCGCCGCAGCCGGGCGTCCAGCGGCTCGTCCTCCTCGCTCTCTGCGGCGCCGCGGTGACTCGGGCTCTGACGCCCAGAGTTCAGCTGCTCGTCAGAGTACTTCAGGCTGTAGTTGATGGGCGTGTCCAGCTCGCCGCCGTCGTCGTCCGCCATGTGGTTGGCGCTGCGGATCTTGTGCGCCAGGTCGGCCGGGTACTTCCTGTAGACGCAGCACTTGTTGCCTCCGTTCTCGTCCGAGGAGTAGAACGGCTCGGTGGACGGTTTGGTTTTGCCGCGGTTTCCGTACCCGTCTGCGCTCGTGACGCTGTTGAGGCTGTCGCTGGACGCCCGGACGCTGGGCGGGAACACGGGCCGGGCGAACGGCTCCTCGCTCGTCCGCTTCGACCCGTCGGCGCTCTTCGGGCTGGACAGAACGGGCGTGTTGGTGTAAGAGCGTGTCGGGCCGCCCCCCCCCGCGGCGCCGCTGCAGCCCCGCCCCTTCCTGTGCGCTGCCTTCGGGCTCAGGTTGTCGATGTTGTCGAAGGTCTCTGAGAGCTGCTGGGCGTCCAGCTCCTCGAACAGAGCCTTCTGCTTCCTGGCGTGCAGCGAGGGGGCGCCGGCGCCCGGCGACACCACGCTGGCGTCTTTGTACCTCGCCGGCCGGTTGGCCATCAGGTTGCGCAGAGCGGCGGCGCTGCCCATGGCGATCATCTTGTGGCGCGAGTGGATGAGGTTGCGCAACATGCCCACGGCGCCCAGCTCCCACAATGCCTCCTGGTCCTTGGCGTCTCGAGCCGAAAGATTCCAGAGCGTTCCGCAGGCGTTGGAGACGATGGTGAGGCTGTGAGACTTCAGGTGCTGCAGCAGCGTGGGCAGGCAGCCGTGATCTCGCAGGATCTGCCTGCAACACACAGGGAGAAGAATCCATCAGCCTTCAGAGGCTCACTACAGGACAGTGTTTACAGTCCACAGGTCATTACAGGGGTCTACAGGGGTCTACAGGTGTTTCCAGGAGTTTACCTGTGCGCCTCGTTGGTGGCGATGAGGCTGGACACGTTCCTCAGGATGCCTCCTCCGCTCTCGATGATAGCGAGCGTGTTGGTGTGGCTGCGGTGCGTCAGCGTTCCCACCAGAAAGCCCAGAGCCCCGTCCACTGAGCAGATATCAGCTTTGTTCTCTGTGCAGTGAGCCGAGAGGTTCCACAGAGCAGAGAGGACAGACTTCAGGGTGGACTCCTAAAGGACGAGAGGACACATTTAGAGACAGAGAGACTAGGACAGAGAGACGAGGACACAGAGACAGAGAGACAGAGAGACGAGGACAGAGACATTTAGAGACGAGGACACAGAGACAGAGAGACGAGGACAGAGACATTTAGAGACGAGGACACAGAGACACAGAGACAGAGAGACGAGGACAGAGACATTTAGAGACGAGGACACAGAGACACAGAGACAGAGAGACGAGGACAGAGACATTTAGAGACGACACAGACAAAGAGACATGAGGACAGAAGTGCTGTCTTCTCACCTTCTGGACCTCCAGGGCGCAGCCGGTCAGAGCTCGCACGCTGCCGACCTCTCTCAGAGTTTTCTTGCTGTTCACGTCGGCGCGCCACGACAAGTTCCTCAGGACGCTGGCTATCACCTGAGACAGGAAGTACTACCGTCAACAAGAGACAGGTACAGGTACTGCCGTCAACAAGAGACAGGTACAGGTACTGCCGTCAACAAGAGACAGGTACAGGTACTGCCGTCAACAAGAGACAGGTACAGGTACTGCCGTCAACAAGAGACAGGTACAGGTACTACCGTCAACAAGAGACAGGTACAGGTACTGCCGTCAACAAGAGACAGGTACAGGTACTGCCGTCAACAAGAGACAGGTACAGGTACTGCCGTCAACAAAGGACAGCCGAGACACGTGGAGAAACGTATTTACTGTACAATATATTTCCAAACTCTTTGATTAGTTTTGGGCTTTTCCACTTTGATTTCCGTCGATTGATAAATGTCAGGAATATATTTTTTTTAAATTTTATGCTCAAACTTTTCGCGGTATTTAAAATGGTTTGAGCTTTTATCATTTCTGATCAAACTGATTTCCACTTTTGAGTTTGTTGGGAGATCTGTTTTTATTTGTTCGCACTGAAACCTTTTCTTTTGGATGAGATCAAAGATTATTTGGGATTCTGACTTTCATTCTTTTTTCAACAACATTTAAAAAAATCTGATAAAACAAATAATCTGATTCTCATGAGGTCCTTAATCCCCGTGATATTCCAGGACTGTTAAGTCTCATTTATATATTTCAAGATTATTTTGCTGCTTCCACGAATTTAAAACGTGATACAGAGATGAATACATTATTTTAAAAGTCAGTAAGAGGTGGAGGAGGTTACCTGCTGCAGGTCTTCACTGTCGGACTTCAGCTGGGCCACCATCGCCCTCATGCAGCCCTTCATGGAGCACAGCGTGGCCTGATGGGAAACACAGAGTCAGAGGTGTGAGTGTGAGTGTGAGTGTGAGTGTGAGTGTGAGTGTGAGTGTGAGTGTGTGTGTGTGTGAAACATGAAGAGAGGCGTGTGTGTGTTTCTTCTCACCTTGTTGGCCACGTCTCCAAAGGTGAGGTTGGTGAGGCCCATGCCGGCGTAGCGTCGCAGTGTCACGCTGTAGTGATCGCTGCTCAGACCGAACATCTCACAGTCCACCTGCAGCAGCTCAGCCACCGCCTGTAGACCACCTGCAGGGCACAGGTAGAGAGAACACCAGACAGTCAGAGAGAACACAGGACAGTCAAAGAGAACACCAGACAGTCAGAGAGAACACAGGACAGTCAGAGAGAACACCAGACAGTCAGAGAGAACACAGGACAGTCAGAGAGAACACAGGACAGTCAGAGAGAACACCAGACAGTCAGAGAGAACACAGGACAGTCAGAGAGAACACAGGACAGTCAGAGAGAACACAGGACAGTCAGAGAGAACACAGGACAGTCAGAGAGAACAGTCAGAGAGAACACAGGACAGTCAGAGAGAACACAGGACAGTCAGAGAGAACACCAGACAGTCAGAGAGAACACAGGACAGTCAGAGAGAACACAGGACAGTCAGAGAGAACACAGGACAGTCAGAGAGAACACAGGACAGTCAGAGAGAACACAGGACAGTCAGAGAGAACACCAGACAGTCAGAGAGAACACAGGACAGTCAGAGAGAACACAGGACAGTCAGAGAGAACACCAGACAGTTAGAGAGAACACAGGACAGTCAGAGAGAACACCAGACAGTCAGAGAGAACACAGGACAGTCAGAGAGAACACAGGACAGTCAGAGAGAACACAGGACAGTCAGCACAGGACAGTCAGAGAGAACACCAGACAGTCAGAGAGAACACAGGACAGTCAGAGAGAACACAGGACAGTCAGAGAGAACACAGGACAGTCAGAGAGAACACAGGACAGTCAGAGAGAACACAGGACAGTCAGAGAGAACACAGGACAGTCAGAGAGAACACAGGACAGTCAGAGAGAACACCAGACAGTCAGAGAGAACACAGGACAGTCAGAGAGAACACCAGACAGTCAGAGAGAACACAGGACAGTCAGAGAGAACACCAGACAGTCAGAGAGAACACAGGACAGTCAGAGAGAACACAGGACAGTCAGAGAGAACACAGGACAGTCAGAGAGAACACAGGACAGTCAGAGAGAACACAGGACAGTCAGAGAGAACACAGGACAGTCAGAGAGAACACAGGACAGTCAGAGAGAACACCAGACAGTCAGAGAGAACACCAGACAGTCAGAGAGAACAGTCAGAGAGAACACAGGACAGTCAGAGAGAACACCAGACAGTCAGAGAGAACACAGGACAGTCAGAGAGAACACAGGACAGTCAGAGAGAACACAGGACAGTTAGAGAGAACACAGGACAGTCAGAGAGAACACCAGACAGTCAGAGAGAACACAGGACAGTCAGAGAGAACACAGGACAGTCAGAGAGAACACCAGACAGTCAGAGAGAACACAGGACAGAGAACACAGGACAGTCAGAGAGAACACCAGACAGTTAGAGAGAACACAGGACAGTCAGAGAGAACACCAGACAGTCAGAGAGAACACAGGACAGTCAGAGAGAACACAGGACAGTCAGAGAGAACACAGGACAGTCAGAGAGAACACCAGACAGTCAGAGAGAACACAGGACAGTCAGAGAGAACACCAGACAGTCAGAGAGAACACCAGACAGTCAGAGAGAACACAGGACAGTCAGAGAGAACACAGGACAGTCAGAGAGAACACAGGACAGTCAGAGAAAACACAGGACAGTCAGAGAGAACACAGGACAGTCAGAGAGAACACCAGACAGTCAGAGAGAACACAGGACAGTCAGAGAGAACACAGGACAGTCAGAGAGAACACAGGACAGTCAGAGAGAACACAGGACAGTCAGAGAGAACACAGGACAGTCAGAGAGAACACAGGACAGTCAGAGAGAACACCAGACAGTCAGAGAGAACACAGGACAGTCAGAGAGAACACCAGACAGTCAGAGAGAACACAGGACAGTCAGAGAGAACACCAGACAGTCAGAGAGAACACAGGACAGTCAGAGAGAACACAGGACAGTCAGAGAGAACACAGGACAGTCAGAGAGAACACAGGACAGTCAGAGAGAACACAGGACAGTCAGAGAGAACACAGGACAGTCAGAGAGAACACAGGACAGTCAGAGAGAACACCAGACAGTCAGAGAGAACACCAGACAGTCAGAGAGAACAGTCAGAGAGAACACAGGACAGTCAGAGAGAACACCAGACAGTCAGAGAGAACACAGGACAGTCAGAGAGAACACAGGACAGTCAGAGAGAACACAGGACAGTTAGAGAGAACACAGGACAGTCAGAGAGAACACCAGACAGTCAGAGAGAACACAGGACAGTCAGAGAGAACACAGGACAGTCAGAGAGAACACCAGACAGTCAGAGAGAACACAGGACAGAGAACACAGGACAGTCAGAGAGAACACCAGACAGTTAGAGAGAACACAGGACAGTCAGAGAGAACACCAGACAGTCAGAGAGAACACAGGACAGTCAGAGAGAACACAGGACAGTCAGAGAGAACACCAGACAGTCAGAGAGAACACAGGACAGTCAGAGAGAACACAGGACAGTCAGAGAGAACACAGGACAGTCAGAGAGAACACCAGACAGTTAGAGAGAACACAGGACAGTCAGAGAGAACACAGGACAGTCAGAGAGAACACAGGACAGTCAGAGAGAACACAGGACAGTCAGAGAGAACAGTCAGAGAGAACACAGGACAGTCAGAGAGAACACTAGACAGTTAGAGAGAACACAGGACAGTCAGAGAGAACAGTCAGAGAGAACACAGGACAGTCAGAGAGAACAGTCAGAGAGAACACCAGACAGTCAGAGAGAACAGTCAGAGAGAACACAGGACAGTCAGAGAGAACAGTCAGAGAGAACACAGGACAGTCAGAGAGAACACCAGACAGTTAGAGAGAACACAGGACAGTCAGAGAGAACACAGGACAGTCAGAGAGAACACCAGACAGTCAGAGAGAACACAGGACAGTCAGAGAGAACACCAGACAGTCAGAGAGAACACAGGACAGTCAGAGAGAACACAGGACAGTCAGAGAGAACACAGGACAGTCAGAGAGAACACAGGACAGTCAGAGAGAACACAGGACAGTCAGAGAGAACACCAGACAGTCAGAGAGAACACAGGACAGTCAGAGAGAACACAGGACAGTCAGAGAGAACACAGGACAGTCAGAGAGAACACCAGACAGTCAGAGAGAACACAGGACAGTCAGAGAGAACACAGGACAGTCAGAGAGAACACAGGACAGTCAGAGAGAACACAGGACAGTCAGAGAGAACACAGGACAGTCAGAGAGAACACAGGACAGTCAGAGAGAACACAGGACAGTCAGAGAGAACACAGGACAGTCAGAGAGAACACAGGACAGTCAGAGAGAACACAGGACAGTCAGAGAGAACACAGGACAGTCAGAGAGAACACAGGACAGTCAGAGAGAACACAGGACAGTCAGAGAGAACACCAGGACAGTCAGAGAGAACACAGGACAGTCAGAGAGAACACAGGACAGTCAGAGAGAACACAGGACAGTCAGAGAGAACACAGGACAGTCAGAGAGAACACAGGACAGTCAGAGAGAACACAGGACAGTCAGAGAGAACACAGGACAGTCAGAGAGAACACAGGACAGTCAGAGAGAACACAGGACAGTCAGAGAGAAACACAGGACAGTCAGAGAGAACACAGGACAGTCAGAGAGAACACAGGACAGTCAGAGAGAACACAGGACAGTCAGAGAGAACACCGGACAGTCAGAGAGAACACCAGACAGTCAGAGAGAACACAGGACAGTCAGAGAGAACACAGGACAGTCAGAGAGAACACCAGACAGTCAGAGAGAACACAGGACAGTCAGAGAGAACACAGGACAGTCAGAGAGAACACAGGACAGTCAGAGAGAACACCAGACAGTCAGAGAGAACACCAGACAGTCAGAGAGAACACAGGACAGTCAGAGAGAACACAGGACAGTCAGAGAGAACACAGGACAGTCAGAGAGAACACAGGACAGTCAGAGAGAACGCTGAGTCAGGATAAACAGGAAACAGGAAACAGCTGAGTCACTAAGTCTCACCCAGCTCGTTCATGGCGTGCCGATGCTCCTCGTCGAAGGAAAGCTTCATCAGGACGCAGACAGCCGGACAGATCTGATGCTCCACTGGAGACGGCACTGAACACAGCACACAGCGTTATATATTATATTACATTCAGAACATTATACCGTTTCTATATAATCACATATCATTTAACATTAGGATTATATGTTTCTGATCGTGTGACGTGCATGCTGCCTGTGTGTGCCTCTGATTGGCCGGTGTGTGTGACATCACTCACTGGGGTTGTCCTCCTGGTCCACGCCCCTCTCGTGGTTCTCCTGCCAGCTCCAGCACTCCTCGCAGTAATGCCTCACTTGTTCCAGCAGGTGGAGCACTCTGATCTCGCGCCGGCCTCTCTTATCGTCCGGTTGGCTGTGCACGATGTTGTGCAGCGCCGCAGACGCCCTCGCCCTCGCCTCCTTGCTGCCGCGGGAGTTCCCCAGCAGCAGGGAGTCCTTGTCGTTGCCGTGCAGCAGCTGGATGAGCAGCGGCAGGCAGCCCGACTGACGCATTGCGATGCACGAGTCCTGAGAGGACGACATGGCCAGCAGCGTGCGCGACATGTCGTCCTTATCGTGAGTCCCCAGCATGGACAGCAGGCTGTACACCATCTCCACCTGCAGGGGACGACACTGTTCATAACACTATACACCATCTCTACCTGCAGGGGACGACACTGTTCATAACACTATACACCATCTCCACCTGCAGGGGGCGACACTGTTCATAACACTATACACCATCTCCACCTGCAGGGGGCGACACTGTTCATAACACTATACACCATCTCCACCTGCAGGGGACGACACTGTTCATAACACTATACACCATCTCTACCTGCAGGGGACGACACTGTTCATAACACTATACACCATCTCCACCTGCAGGGGACGACACTGTTCATAACACTATACACCATCTCTACCTGCAGGGGACGACACTGTTCATAACACTATACACCATCTCCACCTGCAGGGGGCGACACTGTTCATAACACTGTACACCATCTCTACCTGCAGGGGGCGACACTGTTCATAACACTATACACCATCTCTACCTGCAGGGGGCGACACTGTTCATAACACTATACACCATCTCCACCTGCAGGGGGCGACACTGTTCATAACACTATACACCATCTCTACCTGCAGGGGGCGACACTGTTCATAACACTATACACCATCTCCACCTGCAGGGGGCGACACTGTTCATAACACTATACACCATCTCCACCTGCAGGGGGCGACACTGTTCATAACACTATACACCATCTCCACCTGCAGGGGGCGACACTGTTCATAACACTATACACCATCTCCACCTGCAGGGGGCGACACTGTTCATAACACTATACACCATCTCCACCTGCAGGGGGCGACACTGTTCATAACACTATACACAATCTCCACCTGCAGGGGGCGACACTGTTCATAACACTATACACAATCTCCACCTGCAGGGGGCGACACTGTTCATAACACTATACACCATCTCCACCTGCAGGGGGCGACACTGTTCATAACACTATACACCATCTCCACCTGCAGGGGGCGACACTGTTCATAACACTATACACCATCTCCACCTGCAGGGGGCGACACTGTTCATAACACTATACACCATCTCTACCTGCAGGGGGCGACACTGTTCATAACACTATACACCATCTCCACCTGCAGGGGGCGACACTGTTCATAACACTATACACCATCTCTACCTGCAGGGGGCGACACTGTTCATAACACTATACACCATCTCTACCTGCAGGGGGCGACACTGTTCATAACACTATACACCATCTCTACCTGCAGGGGGCGACACTGTTCATAACACTATCCACCATCTCTACCTTTACAGTGGGCCTAATGTTTAACAGCTCTGGTTGCTGATTGGTCGTTAAGGAGGTAAAGTGGGCGGGGTTACTCGCCTTGGTTCCCAGGTGGCTGGTGATTCGTCGAGGCACGGAGTAGCTCGCCTCATTGGCCGGCTCGTGCTCCAATCGGCTGCTGGAGCTCTGCAGGAGGAAACATCAGATCACTTTTGTAATGTGAACAGAAGAAGAAGAGGAAGAGGAAACAGGAAACAGGAAGCTCACCTGAGCGCCAGGTAAGTCGCTGCTGTCGCTCTGACTTTCATCCCCCTGCAGAGAGAAGAGGAAATCAATCAGACATCAATAAAGAAGCTAAAACAGGTATTGATATGTGTCTCCAGGTGTTTGAGTTTACCTGCAGACGAGCTCCCAGGCGCAGGATGTCCTTCTCGATCTGCTGGACGCGAGAGACACGAGCCTGAAGAGAGAGACACTGTTTCATCACCTGCTGAACACCTACCTGTCCTCATCAGAGCTCACCTGCTGAACACCTACCTGTCCTCATCAGAGCTCACCTGCTGAACACCTACCTGTCCTCATCAGAGCTCACCTGCTGAACACCTACCTGTCCTCATCAGAGCTCACCTGCTGAACACCTACCTGTCCTCATCAGAGCTCACCTGCTGAACACCTACCTGTCCTCATCAGAGCTCACCTGCTGAACACCTACCTGGTTAGGGTTAGTTTACCTGAGCTCTCTATGTATCTTAACAACAGGTGAGTTTACCTGAGCTCTCTATGTATCTTAACAACAGGTGAGTTTACCTGAGCTCTCCTCTCTATGTATCTTAACAACAGATGAGTACCTGAGGCCTGTACTACGAAGCCGGATGTTCTCTTAGCTAACTTCAGGGAGAACTCTGGGTTTCCGGTCCTACGACGCTGGTTCTCTTCTTAGCGGGCTGGATCTCCATGGTAACTGATGCTGAGCGGCTAACCAGAGGCCTGTACTACGAATCTAGTTCAACATATCCTGGATATGTTTTGAGTTATCCGGTTGACTAAATCCAAAACCAACCCGCTCTCGATAAACGGTCCTACGACGCTGGTTATCAAGTGTATCGCTCAAGCCAGCCGTGTCCTATCTAGTTAGGTGCGCGTTCACATGAAAGGGGTGGTATTTGGAGCGATCGACCAATCACAAACATGGAGAACAGGTGTCTTAGAGACAGGTGAGTTTACCTGAGCTCTCCTCTCCATCTCCTGACAGGATCCCAGCTGCTCTTCCATCGCTGAGCGGATCTGACGAGCCTCGAACTCCAGCTGACGGCGACTCATGTCCGTCTGCAGGGTGAACTAACACACACACACACACACTGTTATTTATAGAGTGTGTGTGTGTGTGTGTGTGTGTGTGTGTGTGTGTGTGTGTGCGTGCGTGTGTGCCCCTCACGTTCTCGGTGAGCGGCAGGCTGTCGATCCTCTTGGTCAGATTCTGCAGCTGAGCGTAGTACCAGTCCTTCTCTTTCTCCTCCTTCTCCAGCTCAGCCAATAGGAGAGCTCTGTCAGGGGTTGGCAGCCAATCACATAGCAGGAAACAGAGGAGCCAATCAGAGACACAAATTCTATCTCGTAGTTTATCAACAACTGTAATACGTGTAATGAGTGTGTGTAATGAGTGTGTGTGTGTACGTGTGTGTGTGTGTGTGTGTGTGTGTGTGTGTACCTCTCCTTCTCCAGGTCCTCCAGGCAGCGCTCCTGTTCTCTCCCCGCTGAAGGAGCTCCTCTCCTGGGCAGAGCGCTGCCTCCTGCCCCCCCGGAGGCTCCAGGAGGCTTCGCTCGGGGTTTAAACCCTGATGAGTCCAGGCTCATCTCCTTCAGCCTCTCGATGAGCTCCAGCTGGGAGCCAGATGCCTCGCCCGACTCTTCTTCTATGGTGCCCTGCAGCTGCTTCAGCACTTCCTGTTGAGGCCACAAAATAAAAGCCTTTAGTTTTCATCTGAGCAGAGAGACTGTTAGAGAGAGAGACATTTTAAACACTATTACAGGAAACCTATTCATCACAAACAGAAACTGAGGCCGTTTCTCAATCTCGAGTACGCTTGCTTGGTAGCACATGTCTTCTGAGTGTCTTGCTTCAGAAGCGAGGCAAGAATACTTCCTGGCATTCGGAAAACAAAGAGTGGAACAGGCTAGCAAGTGTGCAGGTGTGCGTCATATGAGAGGCCCCGCCTCTTACATCTTCCGCCACAGATTTGGGGAAATTGGTCCATGCGCAAAGCATTGTGGGGATTTTAAGGACGCGAAGTCTACACATGTGCAGCCTCGAAATTTCCTCCAAACCAAGGACGCGGCCTCGGTGGAATTCCAAGTATGCTGGAGATTGGAACAGTCCTTCGGCGGCACTCGATGACGTAGCATCCTTGGCTTGGAAGCCAATATCCTCGCGATTGAGAAACGGCCCCTGCATCTCTCCTCAGATTTTCAGAATAAAACAAACAGAAACACTGCGTCCCTGTAGTCAGATTTTCAGAATAAAACATATTAACCACAAACACTGCGTCTCTATGGTCAGATTTTCAGAATAAAACATATTAAACAGAAACACTGCGTCTCTATGGTCAGATTTTCAGAATAAAACATATTAAACAGAAACACTGCGTCTCTATGGTCAGATTTTCAGAATAAAACATATTAACCACAAACAGAAACACTGCGTCTCTATGGTCAGATTTTCAGAATAAAACATATTAAACAGAAACACTGCGTCTCTATGGTCAGATTTTCAGAATAAAACATTAACCACAAACAGAAACACTGCGTCTCTACGGTCAGATTTTCAGAATAAAACATATCAAACAGAAACACTGCGTATCTACGGTCACATTTTCAGAATAAAACATATTAAACAGAAACACTGCGTCTCTATGGTCAGATTTTCAGAATAAAACATATTAAACAGAAACACTGCGTCTCTATGGTCAGATTTTCAGAATAAAACATATTAACCACAAACAGAAACACTGCGTCTCTATGGTCAGATTTTCAGAATAAAACATATTAACCACAAACAGAAACACTGCGTCTCTATGGTCAGATTTTCAGAATAAAACAAACAGAAACACTGCGTCTCTATGGTCAGATTTTCAGAATAAAACATATTAACCACAAACAGAAACACTGCGTCTCTATGGTCAGATTTTCAGAATAAAACATATCAAACAGAAACACTGCGTCTCTACGGTCAGATTTTCAGAATAAAACAAACAGAAACACTGCGTCTCTATGGTCAGATTTTCAGAATAAAACATATTAAACAGAAACACTGCGTCTCTATGGTCAGATTTTCAGAATAAAACATATTAACCACAAACAGAAACACTGCGTCTCTATGGTCAGATTTTCAGAATAAAACATATTAACCACAAACAGAAACACTGCGTCTCTATGGTCAGATTTTCAGAATAAAACATATTAACCACAAACAGAAACACTGCGTCTCTATGGTCAGATTTTCAGAATAAAACATATTAACCACAAACAGAAACACTGCGTCTCTACGGTCAGATTTTCAGAATAAAACAAACAGAAACACTGCGTCTCTATGGTCAGATTTTCAGAATAAAACATATCAAACAGAAACACTGCGTCTCTACGGTCACATTTTCAGAATAAAACATATTAAACAGAAACACTGCGTCTCTATGGTCAGATTTTCAGAATAAAACATATTAAACAGAAACACTGCGTCTCTATGGTCAGATTTTCAGAATAAAACATATTAACCACAAACAGAAACACTGCGTCTCTATGGTCAGATTTTCAGAATAAAACATATTAACCACAAACAGAAACACTGCGTCTCTATGGTCAGATTTTCAGAATAAAACAAACAGAAACACTGCGTCTCTATGGTCAGATTTTCAGAATAAAACATATTAACCACAAACAGAAACACTGCGTCTCTACGGTCAGATTTTCAGAATAAAACAAACAGAAACACTGCGTCTCTATGATCAGATTTTCAGAATAAAACATATCAAACAGAAACACTGCGTCTCTACGGTCAGATTTTCAGAATAAAACATATTAAACAGAAACACTGCGTCTCTATGGTCAGATTTTCAGAATAAAACATATTAAACAGAAACACTGCGTCTCTATGGTCAGATTTTCAGAATAAAACATATTAACCACAAACAGAAACACTGCGTCTCTATGGTCAGATTTTCAGAATAAAACATATTAACCACAAACAGAAACACTGCGTCTCTATGGTCAGATTTTCAGAATAAAACAAACAGAAACACTGCGTCTCTATGGTCAGATTTTCAGAATAAAACATATTAACCACAAACAGAAACACTGCGTCTCTACGGTCAGATTTTCAGAATAAAACAAACAGAAACACTGCGTCTCTATGATCAGATTTTCAGAATAAAACATATCAAACAGAAACACTGCGTCTCTACGGTCAGATTTTCAGAATAAAACAAACAGAAACACTGCGTCTCTATGGTCAGATTTTCAGAATAAAACATATTAAACAGAAACACTGCGTCTCTATGGTCAGATTTTCAGAATAAAACATATTAACCACAAACAGAAACACTGCGTCTCTATGGTCAGATTTTCAGAATAAAACATATTAACCACAAACAGAAACACTGCGTCTCTATGGTCAGATTTTCAGAATAAAACAAACAGAAACACTGCGTCTCTATGGTCAGATTTTCAGAATAAAACATATTAACCACAAACAGAAACACTGCGTCTCTACGGTCAGATTTTCAGAATAAAACAAACAGAAACACTGCGTCTCTATGGTCAGATTTTCAGAATAAAACATATCAAACAGAAACACTGCGTCTCTACGGTCAGATTTTCGCTCCTCACCACGATGAGTCGGCAGCGCTCGAACAGCGACATGATGGAGACTAAAACACTCACTCACTGTTTTCTGCTCTACACAGTAAACAGGAAGCAGGAAGCAGGAAACAGGAAGTGAGGGTGAGTAGAAGAGGAAGGACGGGACAATAAAACTACAAGTTAGAAAACAACAGAAAGAGAGGAACGAAAAAGGAATGAAACGAGAGATAAATAAAACGATAAACAGACGGGAAATAAAAACTAAGAATACATTTAGTTTATCTGTTCAGACATAACAGAAGTTAGGTAAAGACAAAATAAAATCAGACGGAGAGTAACACAACAAACAACGAGAACTCAAACCAGAGAAGAAGAAGGCGACAGGAAGTGAACTACAGACAGAAGAGAGACAGAAGAAGACAGAGCGCTCACTCCTTAAGATTTCCTGCAAATCAAAGATCCTCAAACTGACAAACATCTCGCTCCCGACGACAACAAGGAGCCGCTGAGCAGCGCAGCGTGTGATTGGTGGAGACACCACAGGCTATTCTGGGATTATAGGGGGGGGGGGGGACAAAGGGCCTCAAACAGGAAGTGATACAAAAACACATCTCGAGGTACAAATACTGGAAATCACATGTTAGCTTTCAGCTGGATTTCAGCAGTATTTCAGCAGTACTCTGATCTGTATTTCAGCAGTATTTCAGGAGTACTCTGAGCAGTATTTCAGCAGTACTCTGAGCTGTATTTCAGCAGTACCCTGAGCAGTATTTCAGAAGTACTCTGAGCTGTATTTCAGCAGTATTTCAGGAGTACTCTGAGCAGTATTTCAGGAGTACTCTGAGCTGTATTTCAGCAGTATTTCAGGAGTACTCTGAGCTGTATTTCAGCAGTATTTCAGGAGTACTCTGAGCAGTATTTCAGGAGTACTCTGAGCAGTATTTCAGCAGTATTTCAGGAGTACTCTGAGCAGTATTTCAGCAGTACTCTGAGCTGTATTTCAGCAGTACCCTGAGCAGTATTTCAGAAGTACTCTGAGCTGTATTTCAGCAGTATTTCAGGAGTACTCTGAGCTGTATTTCAGCAGTATTTCAGGAGTACTCTGAGCAGTATTTCAGGAGTACTCTGAGCTGTATTTCAGCAGTATTTCAGGAGTACTCTGAGCAGTATTTCAGGAGTACTCTGAGCTGTATTTCAGCAGTATTTCAGGAGTACTCTGAGCTGTATTTCAGCAGTATTTCAGGAGTACTCTGAGCAGTATTTCAGGAGTACTCTGAGCAGTATTTCAGCAGTATTTCAGGAGTACTCTGAGCAGTATTTCAGCAGTACTCTGAGCTGTATTTCAGGAGTACTCTGAGCAGTATTTCAGGAGTACCCTGAGCAGTATTTTAGCAGTACTCTGAGCAGTATTTCAGCAGTACTCTGAGCTGTATTTCAGCAGTACTCTGATCTATATTTCAGGAGTACTCTGAGCTGTATTTCAGGAGTACTCTGATCTGTATTTCAGGAGTACTCTGAGCAGTATTTCAGCAGTATTTCAGGAGTACTCTGAGCTGTATTTCAGGAGTACTCTGAGCTGTATTTCAGGAGTACTCTGATCTGTATTTCAGCAGTACTCTGAGCTGTATTTTAGGAGTACTCTGAGCTGTATTTCAGCAGTACTCTGATCTGTATTTCAGCAGTACTCTGATCTGTATTTCAGCAGTACTCTGAGCAGTATTTCAGCAGTACTCTGAGCAGTATTTCAGCAGTACTCTGAGCAGTATTTCAGCAGTACTCTGAGCAGTATTTCAGCAGTACTCTGAGCAGTATTTCAGCAGTACTCTGAGCAGTATTTCAGCAGTACTCTGAGCAGTATTTCAGCAGTACTCTGATCTATATTTCAGGAGTACTCTGAGCTGTATTTCAGGAGTACTCTGATCTGTATTTCAGGAGTACTCTGAGCAGTATTTCAGCAGTATTTCAGGAGTACTCTGAGCTGTATTTCAGGAGTACTCTGAGCTGTATTTCAGGAGTACTCTGATCTGTATTTCAGCAGTACTCTGAGCTGTATTTCAGCAGTACTCTGAGCTGTATTTCAGGAGTACTCTGAGCTGTATTTCAGCAGTACTCTGAGCTGTATTTCAGGAGTACTCTGAGCTGTATTTCAGCAGTACTCTGAGCTGTATTTCAGCAGTACTCTGAGCTGTATTTCAGGAGTACTCTGAGCTGTATTTCAGGAGTACTCTGATCTGTATTTCAGCAGTACTCTGAGCTGTATTTCAGGAGTACTCTGAGCTGTATTTCAGGAGTACTCTGAGCTGTATTTCAGGAGTACTCTGAGCTGTATTTCAGGAGTACTCTGAGCAGTATTTCAGGAGTACTCCGAGCTGTATTTCAGCAGTATTACCTTCATGTTCTCGGCCTCAGACTCCAGCAGCGTCAGGTGTATCTCGGGTGTATTACAGGTGTATCTCAGGTGTATCTCATGTGTATTATCTCGGGTGTATCTCGGGTGTATCTCAGGTGTATTATCTCAGGTGTATTATCTCAGGTGTATTATCTCAGGTGTATTATCTCAGGTGTATCTCAGGTGTATCTCAGGTGTATTATCTCAGGTGTATCTCATGTGTATCTCATGTGTATCTCATGTGTATTACAGGTGTATCTCAGGTGTATTATCTCATGTGTATCTCAGGTGTATTACAGGTGTATCTCAGGTGTATTACAGGTGCATCTCAGGTGTATTATCTCAGGTGTATTACAGGTGTATCTCAGGTGTATCTCAGGTGTATCACAGGTGTATTATCTCAGGTGTATCTCATGTGTATCTCAGGTGTATTATCTCATGTGTATCTCAGGTGTATTACAGGTGTATCTCAGGTGTATTACAGGTGTATCTCAGGTGTATCACAGGTGTATTATCTCATGTGTATCTCAGGTGTATCTCAGGTGTATTATCTCAGGTGTATCTCAGGTGTATTACAGGTGTATCTCAGGTGTATCTCAGGTGTATCATCTCAGGTGTATCACAGGTGTATCATCTCAGGTGTATTACAGGTGTATTACAGGTGTATTACAGGTGTATTACAGGTGTATTACAGGTGTATTACAGGTGTATCTCAGGTGTATCACAGGTGTATTATCTCATGTGTATCTCAGGTGTATCTCAGGTGTATTATCTCAGGTGTATCTCAGGTGTATTACAGGTGTATCTCAGGTGTATTACAGGTGTATCTCAGGTGTATCACAGGTGTATTACAGGTGTATCTCAGGTGTATCTCGGGTGTATCTCGGGTGTATCTCGGGTGTATCTCGGGTGTATCTCGGGTGTATTACAGGTGTATCTCAGGTGTATCTCAGGTGTATCTCAGGTGTATCTCATGTGTATTATCTCGGGTGTATCTCGGGTGTATCTCGGGTGTATTATCTCAGGTGTATTATCTCAGGTGTATCTCAGGTGTATTATCTCAGGTGTATCTCAGGTGTATCTCAGGTGTATCTCAGGTGTATTATCTCAGGTGTATCTCATGTGTATCTCAGGTGTATTACAGGTGTATCTCAGGTGTATTATCTCATGTGTATCTCAGGTGTATTACAGGTGTATCTCAGGTGTATTACAGGTGTATCTCAGGTGTATCTCAGGTGTATCACAGGTGTATTATCTCATGTGTATCTCATGTGTATCTCAGGTGTATCTCAGGTGTATTACAGGTGTATCTCAGGTGTATCTCAGGTGTATTACAGGTGTATCTCAGGTGTATCTCAGGTGTATTACAGGTGTATCTCAGGTGTATTATCTCATGTGTATCTCAGGTGTATTACAGGTGTATCTCAGGTGTATTACAGGTGTATCTCAGGTGTATCTCAGGTGTATCACAGGTGTATTATCTCATGTGTATCTCAGGTGTATCTCAGGTGTATTACAGGTGTATCTCAGGTGTATCTCAGGTGTATCATCTCAGGTGTATCACAGGTGTATCATCTCAGGTGTATCATCTCAGGTGTATTACAGGTGTATTACAGGTGTATCTCAGGTGTATCTCAGGTGTATTACAGGTGTATCTCAGGTGTATCACAGGTGTATTACAGGTGTATCTCAGGTGTATCTCAGGTGTATCTCTGGTGTATCTCGGGTGTATCTCGGGTGTATTACAGGTGTATCTCAGGTGTATCTCAGGTGTATCTCAGGTGTATCTCAGGTGTATCTCATGTGTATTATCTCGGGTGTATCTCGGGTGTATCTCGGGTGTATCTCAGGTGTATCTCAGGTGTATCTCATGTGTATTATCTCGGGTGTATCTCGGGTGTATCTCAGGTGTATCTCGGGTGTATTATCTCGGGTGTATTATCTCAGGTGTATTATCTCAGGTGTATTATCTCAGGTGTATCTCAGGTGTATCTCAGGTGTATCTCAGGTGTATCTCAGGTGTATTATCTCAGGTGTATCTCATGTGTATCTCAGGTGTATCTCAGGTGTATCTCAGGTGTATTACAGGTGTATCTCAGGTGTATTATCTCATGTGTATCTCAGGTGTATTACAGGTGTATCTCAGGTGTATTACAGGTGTATCTCAGGTGTATCTCAGGTGTATCACAGGTGTATTATCTCATGTGTATCTCATGTGTATCTCAGGTGTATCACAGGTGTATTATCTCATGTGTATCTCAGGTGTATCTCAGGTGTATTACAGGTGTATCTCAGGTGTATCTCAGGTGTATCATCTCAGGTGTATCACAGGTGTATCATCTCAGGTGTATCATCTCAGGTGTATTACAGGTGTATTACAGGTGTATCTCAGGTGTATCTCAGGTGTATTACAGGTGTATCTCAGGTGTATCACAGGTGTATTACAGGTGTATCTCAGGTGTATCTCAGGTGTATCTCGGGTGTATCTCGGGTGTATCTCGGGTGTATTACAGGTGTATCTCAGGTGTATCTCAGGTGTATCTCAGGTGTATCTCATGTGTATTATCTCGGGTGTATCTCGGGTGTATCTCGGGTGTATCTCGGGTGTATCTCGGGTGTATTATCTCGGGTGTATTATCTCAGGTGTATTATCTCAGGTGTATTATCTCAGGTGTATCTCAGGTGTATCTCAGGTGTATCTCAGGTGTATCTCAGGTGTATTATCTCAGGTGTATCTCATGTGTATCTCAGGTGTATCTCAGGTGTATCTCAGGTGTATTATCTCAGGTGTATCTCATGTGTATCTCAGGTGTATCTCAGGTGTATCTCAGGTGTATTACAGGTGTATCTCAGGTGTATTATCTCATGTGTATCTCAGGTGTATTACAGGTGTATCTCAGGTGTATTACAGGTGTATCTCAGGTGTATCTCAGGTGTATCACAGGTGTATTATCTCATGTGTATCTCATGTGTATCTCAGGTGTATCTCAGGTGTATCTCAGGTGTATTATCTCATGTGTATCTCAGGTGTATTACAGGTGTATCTCAGGTGTATTACAGGTGTATCTCAGGTGTATCTCAGGTGTATCACAGGTGTATTATCTCATGTGTATCTCAGGTGTATCTCAGGTGTATTATCTCAGGTGTATCTCAGGTGTATTACAGGTGTATCTCAGGTGTATCTCAGGTGTATCATCTCAGGTGTATCACAGGTGTATTACAGGTGTATTACAGGTGTATTACAGGTGTATCTCAGGTGTATTACAGGTGTATTACAGGTGTATCACAGGTGTATTACAGGTGTATCTCAGGTGTATCTCAGGTGTATCATCTCAGGTGTATTACAGGTGTATCTCAGGTATATCACATGTGTATTACAGGTGTATCTCAGGTGTATCTCAGGTGTATTACAGGTGTATCTCAGGTGTATCTCAGGTGTATCTCATGTGTATCTCATGTGTATCTCAGGTGTATTACAGGTGTATTACAGGTGTATTACAGGTGTATTACAGGTGTATCTCAGGTGTATCTCAGGTGTATCTCAGGTGTATCTCAGGTGTATCATCTCAGGTGTATCTCAGGTGTATTACAGGTGTATCACAGGTGTATCATCTCAGGTGTATTATCTCAGGTGCATCACAGGTGTATTATCTCAGGTGTATCTCAGGTGTATCTCAGGTGTGTTACCTTCATGTTCTCGGCCTCAGACTCCAGGTGGGTCAGGTGGTTGGAGTTGTCCTGCAGCTCCTGCCTCAGGGTGGTGTTTTCCATCTTTAACACCTCCACCTGTCTCAGCAACTGATCGTACGACGCTGCCGCCATGACGGAGGAGCCGCCGCTGACCTGAGGCACAAACACAACAACATTAACAAAACTCAAACAACTATTACATCTGCGTTTCAAACTAAAAGCCCTCCAGCGTTTCTGTGGACAGAATCCCTCCAGTTAGAACCAGAAGGCTTTTATTGTGAAAGGACTGTAACCTAAAGATAAGTATTTATTCAATATGTATTAATATATACAGGTTTAATCTGTTTATCATTTAGAATCTTTATGTCTGTGTGTTTTATATTCTGCTCCATGAATGTGTAACTGGGGTTCAGTATTATCCATCTCCTCCCGCTCATCCGGTTCAGCTTTAATGGAGAATAATTCAGATTAAACCTGAAAACTCACTTTGTCGTGATTTCATAATCAGTAAGAGATTAAATCATGGTGTGTGTGTGTGTGTGTGTGTGTGTGTGTGTGTGTGTGTGTGTGTGTGTGTGTGTGTGTGTCATGTGATGTCTCGTTACAAACACTGATGTCACTGTTTCATTGTCACATGATTCATGTTCATCACAACTCACTTTAAACAGCGTTCACAACAACTGCATCAAAACTACAGTGACACTACTTATACATTATTACATTTTAATCTCTTTAGAAATAATTGTTTAAATTATGACATTATTTCCATTTAAAAATGATAATTAAGTTCCTTTTGAAATAGTTCACATTACGTGACATCTTTAAAATGATTTCTATATTACACACACACACACACACACACACACACACACACACACACACACACACACACACACACACACACACACACACACACACACACACACACACACACACACACACACACCACACACACACACACACACACACACACACACACACACACACACACACACACACACACACACACACACACACACACACACACACACACACACACACACACACACACACACACACACACACACACACACACACACACACACACACACACACACTTCAGAACTACAGGTCACCCACAGAGAACTACAACTCCCAGAATCCCCTCTGCTGCCAGGATCAATCAGCCCATTGTGGCGGAGGACGATCAGAGAAACAGCCTCATCCTCCATCACCAGGCAGCCATTTTCTCCATCCTCCCATCCTCCCTCCATCCATCCACACACAGCAACACACACACACACACACACACACACACACACACACACACACACACACTAACAGAGTAACACATTTAATCCGGCAGAGAAGCAGAGATCCAGCGAACAGCAGACAATGAGAGAATAAAAGAGGAACCTCCGCTCACCGCCCCCCCCCTCTCTCCTCCCCCCTCTCCCCCTCTGTATCCCCCCTCTCTCTCTCTCACACACACACACACACACTCTCTCTGCAGACGAACACAGAGAGTGTGTGTTCGGAGGTGAACAGAGTAAAGAACAGATTAGGATGCAGAAAGAGAAAATGGCAGCTCACCCCATCGCTGTAGCCTCCATCACTCCCGTCTCCCTCTCCCTCCCTCCCCCGTCTGACAGTCAGCTGGGGCCTGCAGCAGCCAATCAGGAGGCAGCACACAGAGGGGGGAGGGGGGGGGCCTGCCTGCTCCCAGAATGCTTTGCATCAGCTGCAGACTGGGTTACTGACACACACACACACACACTCACACACTCACACACTCTGCAGTCTGATCGATTACAGGGTTCAGGTCATGGAGCTCGACCGGTTGTGTTCGATGTTGTGATCAAAGACACACGAGCTGTTCAGACGCTGATCCAATTCCTGATAAAACCATGTGATGCTGCAGCGCCATACATTATATATACATCTATATATATATATATATATATATATATATATATATATATATATATATATATAGATATAATGTATATAAGATAACATGTCAGAAAGAATAGCTTACACTGACTGTTTCTCAGGTGGCTTTAAATGTGTGTTTCTGGAGGTCAGCTGTTCCTCCAGAGGCAGTTTCTCTCCCACCTTAAAATCAAACCAGCAGGATTTATAAATATCCCGAGTAGTCCTCACCCGAGAAACCATAGCAACAACAGTCCTATCCCAGAGAAACCATAGCAACAACAGTCCTATCCCAGAGAAACCATAGCAACAACAGTCCTAACTCCCAGAAACCATAGCAACAACAGTCCTATCCCAGAGAAACCATAGCAACAACAGTCCTATCCCAGAGAAACCATAGCAACAACAGTCCTATCCCAGAGAAACCATAGCAACAACAGTCCTAACCCCCAGAAACCATAGCAACAACAGTCCTAACCCCCAGAAACCATAGCAACAACAGTCCTAACCCCCAGAAACCATAGCAACAACAGTCCTAACCCAGAGAAACCATAGCAACAACAGTCCTATCCCAGAGAAACCATAGCAACAACAGTCCTATCCCAGAGAAACCATAGCAACAACAGTCCTAACCCCCAGAAACCATAGCAACAACAGTCCTATCCCAGAGAAACCATAGCAATAACAGTCCTAACCCAGAGAAACCATAGCAACAACAGTCCTAACCCCCAGAAACCATAGCATGCGTGCGTGCGTACGTGCGTGCACGTGTGTACCGAAGTGTACCGAACGAATATAACGTTAAACGTGAAAAATTGAGAACGTGAAAAACTTTTTGGAAGTAATCTCAGGTGCTGCGTCGCAGCGTTCGAGTAGCATGTTCCTGCAGCCCATGCTCAGGTGCTGCGTCGCAGTGTTCAGTGTCATTTCAACGCGTCACTCCCTGTAATCTTTGCTGTATGATGTCCTGTTGTTGTTCTGTTGATGTTTTGATGTCTTCATGTGGAACCTACGGCTGCAGGTCTCCCTTGAAAAAGAGATCAATGATCTCAATGGGATTTCATCTGGATAAATAAAGGTTTTGAATTGAATTTAATTGAATTGTCAGAGAGGCGAAGTCCCTCCTTTTCCGCATTGAAGTCAATGGAGAGAGAAAGATTATCTTTGGATCCCGTTTGAATTGAGCCACAAATTACACATCTGATGTTTGTCAATTTAAAAGATCATTGCAAGTCAAAAAAATAAAAATGTGTCGTAAAACTGTGAAGTAACACTTTGTGTGTGAAACCGCTCGATGAGCTCCATCTCCCGTCTCGCACCACACCTCCCGTCTCGCACCACACCTCCCGTCTCGCACCACACCTCCCGTCTCGCACCACACCTCCCGTCTCGCACCACACCTCCCGTCTCGCACCACACCTCCCGTCTCGCACCACATCTCCCGTCTCGCACCACATCTCCCGTCTCGCACCACACCTCCCGTCTCGCACCACACCTCCCGTCTCGCACCACACCTCCCGTCTCGCACCACACCTCCCGTCTCGCACCACACCTCCCGTCTCGCACCACATCTCCCGTCTCGCACCACACCTCCCGTCTCGCACCACACCTCCCGTCTCGCACCACACCTCCCGTCTCGCACCACACTATTCAGTTTAATAATAATTAAAAACCCCCAAAAAATATTTATTGTTTTGTGATCATTTTTTCTGCTGTACCGAAAACACACCGAACCGTGACCTAAAAACCGAGGTACGTACCGAACCGAAATGTCTGTGAACCGTTACACCCCTAGTGTGTGTGTGTGTGTGTGTGTGTGTGTGTGTGTGTGTGTGTGTGTGTGTGTGTGTGTGTGTGTGTGTGTGTGTGTGTGTGTGTGTGTGTGTTGTGACCCTGTTCACCCCGCTGGGATCAATAACATGTTTCTGATCTGATCGATACCCTGGTACGCCGGGCAGCTTTTCAGATCTAGCTGTTAGTGCATGTAAACGGTCTGCAGAGGAACTACTTCTCACCAGCTGTTAGTGCATGTAAACGGTCTGCAGAGAAACTACTTCTCACTAGCTGTTAGTGCATGTAAACGGTCTGCAGAGAAACTACTTCTCACCAGCTGTTAGTGCATGTAAACGGTCTGCAGAGGAACTACTTCTCACCAGCTGTTAGTGCATGTAAACGGTCTGCAGAGGAACTACTTCTCACCAGCTGTTAGTGCATGTAAACGGTCTGCAGAGGAACTACTTCTCACCAGCTGTTAGTGCATGTAAACGGTCTGCAGAGAAACTACTTCTCACCAGCTGTTAGTGCATGTAAACGGTCTGCAGAGGAACTACTTCTCACCAGCTGTTAGTGCATGTAAACGGTCTGCAGAGGAACTACTTCTCACCAGCTGTTAGTGCATGTAAAACGGTCTGCAGAGGAACTACTTCTCACCAGCTGTTAGTGCATGTAAACGGTCTGCAGAGGAACTACTTCTCACCAGCTGTTAGTGCATGTAAACGGTCTGCAGAGGAACTACTTCTCACCAGCTGTTAGTGCATGTAAACGGTCTGCAGAGGAACTACTTCTCACCAGCTGTTAGTGCATGTAAACGGTCTGCAGAGGAACTACTTCTCACCAGCTGTTAGTGCATGTAAACGGTCTGCAGAGGAACTACTTCTCACCAGCTGTTAGTGCATGTAAACGGTCTGCAGAGGAACTACTTCTCACCAGCTGTTAGTGCATGTAAACGGTCTGCAGAGGAACTACTTCTCACCAGCTGTTAGTGCATGTAAACGGTCTGCAGAGAAACTACTTCTCACCAGCTGTTAGTGCATGTAAACGGTCTGCAGAGAAACTACTTCTCACCAGCTGTTAGTGCATGTAAACGGTCTGCAGAGAAACTACTTCTCACCAGCTGTTAGTGCATGTAAACGGTCTGCAGAGAAACTACTTCTCACCAGCTGTTAGTGCATGTAAACGGTCTGCAGAGGAACTACTTCTTTACACTAGCTGTTAGTGCATGTAAACGGTCTGCAGAGGAACTACTTCTCACCAGCTGTTAGTGCATGTAAACGGTCTGCAGAGGAACTACTTCTCACCAGCTGTTAGTGCATGTAAACGGTCTGCAGAGGAACTACTTCTTTACACTAGCTGTTAGTGCATGTAAACGGTCTGCAGAGGAACTACTTCTTTACACTAGCTGTTAGTGCATGTAAACGGTCTGCAGAGGACTACTTCTTTACACCAGCTGTTAGTGCATGTAAACGGTCTGCAGAGGAACTACTTCTCACCAGCTGTTAGTGCATGTAAACGGTCTGCAGAGGAACTACTTCTCACCAGCTGTTAGTGCATGTAAACGGTCTGCAGAGGAACTATTTCTCACCAGCTGTTAGTGCATGTAAACGGTCTGCAGAGGAACTACTTCTCACCAGCTGTTAGTGCATGTAAACGGTCTGCAGAGGAACTACTTCTCACCAGCTGTTAGTGCATGTAAACGGTCTGCAGAGGAACTACTTCTTTACACCAGCTGTTAGTGCATGTAAACGGTCTGCAGAGGAACTACTTCTCACCAGCTGTTAGTGCATGTAAACGGTCTGCAGAGGAACTACTTCTCACCAGCTGTCAGTGCATGTAAACGGTCTGCAGAGGAACTATTTCTCACCAGCTGTTAGTGCATGTAAACGGTCTGCAGAGGAACTACTTCTCACCAGCTGTTAGTGCATGTAAACGGTCTGCAGAGAAACTACTTCTCACTAGCTGTTAGTGCATGTAAACGGTCTGCAGAGGAACTACTTCTCACCAGCTGTTAGTGCATGTAAACGGTCTGCAGAGAAACTACTTCTCACCAGCTGTTAGTGCATGTAAACGGTCTGCAGAGGAACTACTTCTCACCAGCTGTTAGTGCATGTAAACAGTCTGCAGAGGAACTACTTCTCACCAGCTGTTAGTGCATGTAAACGGTCTGCAGAGGAACTACTTCTCACTAGCTGTTAGTGCATGTAAACGGTCTGCAGAGGAACTACTTCTCACCAGCTGTTAGTGCATGTAAACGGTCTGCAGAGGAACTACTTCTCACCAGCTGTTAGTGCATGTAAACGGTCTGCAGAGGAACTATTTCTCACCAGCTGTTAGTGCATGTAAACGGTCTGCAGAGGAACTACTTCTCACCAGCTGTTAGTGCATGTAAACGGTCTGCAGAGGAACTACTTCTCACCAGCTGTTAGTGCATGTAAACGGTCTGCAGAGGAACTACTTCTCACCAGCTGTTAGTGCATGTAAACGGTCTGCAGAGGAACTACTTCTCACCAGCTGTTAGTGCATGTAAACGGTCTGCAGAGGATGAAATCCCTGTGTTAACCCCATACGGATTTCCACATTCAGATATAGTGAACATCATAGTATATCTTCCACATTCTTCTGTTATCTTCTTTCTTACAGCTATTGTTTTCACGCAAGTATAATATACGTTTTTCACTTCTGGTTAGATGCTAACTACAATTTGTGGTTTTAAGTACTTCTACGATCTTATCTAATATATATACTGTATCCTCTATAGATACTTTATCTTTGCTGCATAGTTCAGTATTTATGTTGATACTGTATACTGTGCAGTACTATATAAATACTGTACTATATAAATACTGTGATATAAAGACTGTACTATATAAAGACTGTGATATAAATACAGCTCAGTATATATGAATACAGTACTATATAATTACTGTATAGTACTGTATAAATATAGTACTATATAAATACAGTACTATATCAATACAGCTCAGTACTATGTAATACAGGACTATATGAATACAGTATTATACAACTACTGTACAGTACTATGTAATACAGTACTATATAAATACAATACTATATAAATATTGTACAGTATCGCGTAACATAAGTGTTTTTGTGACAAAAGCTATGTTAGCAGTTAGCCGTTAGCTCAACAGAACAACTGACCCGTTACTTTTTTTCTCACTTTTCTCAGAATAAATCCATAACTATCGCCTGTCGGTTGGTTTATTAAACACCGGTCCCTCCATCCTGTCCCCGGTTAGAGACGGTAACCGTTAAAACACCGTTAAAAAGGCCGTTAAAACACCGACTAACAACCAAAACAAACCGTTAGCATGAAGCTAACGGTTAGCATTCGCTGTGGTTCTTACCTTTAAAGAAAACAAAGAGCTCCAGAGTCTCGGAACATCCCCGGGGAAGCCTCTCTCTGCCGGTACCGGGAAGAGGACCCGTCAGTACCGGCTCATCTCTTCGGTCACTGCGGGGAAACAGTTACTAAAGTCAGGAGAAGTTTTCTCTCTCGGGCCTCACTGTGAGAAACTGCAGCTGGCCGCCATCTTGTGCCTGACTGAGGACCAGAGGAGCGGAAAGTCTTCAGCTTCTTCACTGGAGGAAAAGTACTCATACTGTACAAGTACTCTACTGGGAGGAAAAGTACTCATACTGTACAAGTACTCTACTGGGAGGAAAAGTATTCATACTGTACAAGTACTCTACTGGGAGGAAAAGTACTCATACTGTACAAGTACTCTACTGGGAGTAAAAGTACTCATACTCTACAAGTACTCTACTGGGAGGAAAAGTACTCATACTGTACAAGTACTCTACTGGGAGGAAAAGTACTCGTACTGTACAAGTACTCTACTGGGAGGAAAAGTACTCATACTGTACAAGTACTCTACTGGGAGGAAAAGTACTCATACTGTACAAGTACTCTACTGGGAGTAAAAGTACTCATACTCTACAAGTACTCTACTGGGAGGAAAAGTACTCATACTGTACAAGTACTCTACTGGGAGGAAAAGTACTCATACTGTACAAGTACTCTACTGGGAGGAAAAGTACTCATACTGTACAAGTACTCTACTGGGAGTTAAAGTACTCATACTGTACAAGTACTCTACTGGGAGGAAAAGTACTCATACTGTACAAGTACTCTACTGGGAGGAAAAGTACTCATACTGTACAAGTACTCTACTGGGAGGAAAAGTACTCATACTGTACAAGTACTCTACTGGGAGTAAAAGTACTCATACTCTACAAGTACTCTACTGGGAGGAAAAGTACTCATACTGTACAAGTACTCTACTGGGAGGAAAAGTACTCATACTGTACAAGTACTCTACTGGGAGGAAAAGTACTCATACTGTACAAGTACTCTACTGGGAGTTAAAGTACTCATACTGTACAAGTACTCTACTGGGAGGAAAAGTACTCATACTGTACAAGTACTCTACTGGGAGGAAAAGTACTCATACTGTACAAGTACTCTACTGGGAGGAAAAGTACTCATACTGTACAAGTACTCTACTGGGAGGAAAAGTACTCATACTGTACAAGTACTCTACTGTACAAGTACTCTACTGGGAGTTAAAGTACTCATACTGTAAAAGTACTCTACTGGGAGGAAAAGTACTCATACTGTACAAGTACTCTACTGGGAGGAAAAGTACTAACACCAAAGTAAAACACTGTACAAATACTCAACTGGGATAAAAGTCATGTCCATGCTTTTACTCTGAAGGTCCCAGCAGCCGGAAGCTGTTTCCTCCATGCTTTTACTCTGAAGGTCCCAGCAGCCGGAAGTTGGGGGTTTTAAAGATGGCGCTGGGTCTCGCCCATGGTCTCGCCGCTGCTCCGCGCTTGTTTCTCCCGCGTGTTTCCCCCGCCGTTCTCCCCGGATTCCCGGCGGGTTTGTGATGAGCTTCCGGTTACCGAGCAGAGTCACCGGATGCCTCGCGCTCACCGGACGGTGTTATGGCTGCTGGTCGCGTGCAGCTCCGCGTTCCTGCTGTTCCAGCTCTACTACTTCCGGAACTACGTCAGCAAGGTGAGAGCCGGGCACCGCAAGAAACAAGGGAAATGTAGTTAATTTATCTAATATTTTTATATATTATTATTTATTATATTTAATAATATATATATAATTATACTATTTTAATATTTTATTATCTATTAATTTATATTCCAACATTTTCTAACTTTTTTATTTTATTTTTATATTCTTTCTTTTATTCTTCTTATACATTATTTTCACAATTTAAAAAATGGTGTTTCCTAAAAGATCAAGAAACTTAAAAAAAACACATAATTATGATTACTTCTACTCTCCTGTAGTTTGTATTTGTGTATCGTTGAGTATCGTTGTGTATCGCTGTGTATCGCTGTGTATCGTTGTGTATCGCTGAGTATCGCTGAGTATCGTTGAATATCGTTGTGTATCGCTGTGTATCGTTGTGTATCGCTGTGTATCGTTGTGTATCGCTGAGTATCGTTGTGTATCGCTGAGTATCGCTGTGTATCGCTGTGTATCGCTGTGTATCGTTGTGTATCGCTGAGTATCGTTGTGTATCGCTGAGTATCGTTGTGTATCGCTGAGTATCGTTGTGTATCGCTGTGTATCGCTGAGTATCGTTGTGTATCGCTGAGTATCGTTGAGTATCGTTGTGTATCGCTGTGTATCGTTGTGTATCGCTGAGTATCGTTGAGTATCGTTGTGTTTCGCTGAGTATCGTTGAGTATCGTTGTGTATCGTTGAGTATCGTTGTGTATCGTTGAGTATCGCTGTGTATCGTTGAGTATCGTTGTGTATCGCTGTGTATCGCTGTGTATCGTTGTGTATCGCTGAGTATCGTTGTGTATCGCTGAGTATCGTTGTGTATCGCTGTGTATCGCTGAGTATCGCTGTGTATCGTTGAGTATCGCTGTGTATCGTTGAGTATCGTTGTGTATCGTTGAGTATCGTTGTGTATCGTTGTGTATCGCTGTGTATCGTTGAGTATCGTTGTGTATCGCTGTGTATCGCTGTGTATCGCTGAGTATCGTTGAGTATCGTTGTGTTTCGCTGAGTATCGTTGAGTATCGCTGTGTATCGTTGAGTATCGTTGTGTATCGTTGAGTATCGTTGAGTATCGTTGTGTATCGTTGTGTATCGTTGTGTATCGTTGAGTATCGTTGTGTATCGTTGTGTATCGCTGTGTATCGTTGTGTATCGTTGAGTATCGTTGTGTATCGTTGAGTATCGTTGTGTATCGTTGTGTATCGCTGTGTATCGTTGAGTATCGTTGTGTATCGCTGAGTATCGCTGAGTATCGTTGTGTATCGTTGTGTATCGCTGTGTATCGTTGAGTATCGCTGTGTATCGTTGAGTATCGTTGTGTATCGCTGTGTATCGTTGAGTATCGTTGAGTATCGTTGTGTATCGCTGAGTATCGTTGAGTATCGCTGTGTATCGTTGAGTATCGCTGTGTATCGTTGAGTATCGCTGTGTATCGTTGTGTATCGTTGTGTATCGTTGTGTATCGGTGAGTATCGTTGAGTATCGTTGTGTATCGTTGAGTATCGTTGAGTATCGTTGAGTATCGTTGAGTATCGTTGAGTATCGCTGTGTATCGTTGAGTATCGTTGTGTATCGTTGAGTATCGCTGTGTATCGTTGTGTATCGTTGAGTATCGTTGAGTATCGCTGTGTATCGTTGAGTATCGTTGTGTATCGTTGTGTATCGTTGAGTATCGCTGAGTATCGTTGTAGAGCGTCTTCATGTTTATATTTATATAATTAAATCTAATATTGTAACCCCCCCCCCCCCCCCCCCCCCCTCGCAGCCCGGCCCTCACATCCTGAGCCGCTCGGGTCACCTGACGCCCAGCGACGTCCAATGGGTGAGTCAGAAAACACTTGCCTTCTTCACCAGATGACCCACGGCCTGACCTCCTCTCAGTTTATCATACGGAGACCAAGAGGAGGCACAGTCAACTTGAATGTCCATCTTACTCAGTTTGAGTTTACAGAGAGATCGAAATGACGTTTCCAACAATCCAGAATATAAATTATACAGATATGTTTACGAATATGTATAAAACATGTATATCCTATTATACACAATCAGCAGACACATTTACACACATGCACACATGAAGATAAAAACACACAACAATCAATACAACATAACAGTCACTTCAATATCTTTGGTGCAAGAGATTATTCCACTCAGGAGAAGTTCTTCCAGTCGGTCTTCATGTCCTTTAAAGCTTCTCAACAAAGGACCTCAATCCTCCAACCCTCCAACCAGAGACCACATTACATTTATTTTATTTAAATCCCAATTCAAAACCTGGTTAGTGAGGAATCTGAAACTCTGACAGCATCTTCTGCTCCTCACAACCCTCTGCCTGGGTTTAACATGTTCTTCTTGTTTTATTTTATTGTTCTGTTTTTTTAATTTAGTTTTATGAAGTCTTCCAGTACTGTATGCTGCATGTTTTTATTTGATTGTATTTACTTGTTTAAAATGAAATTAGTTTTAGGTTGATTTACAAAATCTGTCCAGGGACTCCAGATGAAAAATAGCCTCTGGCACATTTACAGAATGCTGATCAATGCGCACTGTCCCTGTGACAAATAACACCGCTAACGTCAGCAGATGAAAAATGCTTTTATTTTGTAGTCTGCCCCCCTTCCTGTAACGTTAATATTAATAATAATAATAATAATTAAAGCTGCAAGCAGCGTTGAGCGGGTCTTCAACGCTCCGCAGGCTGTTGTCCGCACGTCGACGTCAGGCAGATGTCTCGAGGACTCGGCCGTTGGCAAACGTGGGAAGTTTCAGGCCGATCGGACAATGTATTTAGGAGTTACAGCTGTATCATAAACATTGTGTTTGATGGCGAGTGATCTGTCGCCATGGCAACGGAATTTGATGACACCCCATAATACGCCTAGATGTGTTGAGGGCTGCATCGTTATCAAACCTGTGAAGTTTTGGGCCGTTTGGAGCATGGTAACTGGAGTTATGAGAAAACCGTGTTTCACGGCGACCATTTTGTTACCATAGCAACGACATTTGACGAAATCTAAAAACTGACACATATATGTCTCGAGGGCTTGACGGTTAGCACACATGTGAAATTTGAACACTTTTTTACCATTTACACAGGAGTTAAAGCAATATGGTGCTTAACGGTGAGGGATGCGTTGCCATGGCAACAGCTTTTGAGGAAAACTCACTATTGTCATATTGAGGTGTTGAGGGCCGGACCATTAACTGTCATCTGCAGTCTCGTGCCGTTTGGACCATTTTCCATTGATTTAAGACAACATTGTGTTTTATGGCGAGGGATGCGTTGCCATGGAAACGGCATACGGTGAGATCTCAGATTTCACGTAGAGCTGTTGAGGCATGGACCGGTGATATAAAAGTGAAGATTGGGGGACGATGGGACCGTGTCCATTGGAGTTACAGCGACACCGTGTTTTATGGCGAGGGATGCGTTGCCATGGTAACGCCATATTAAGTAACATCACATTTGACGTAGAGCTGTTCAGGGCTGCAGTGTTAACCATCACGTGAAGTTTGGTGGCGTTCTGAGTATGTCAGTTGGCGTTATGACATCATCGTGTTCCATGGCGAGGGATCGCCTAGCATCGAGCGAACGCGAACTTTGGCGCCAAACCACGGCTACGCCGTGTGAAAGAAAAAAACTTCCGTGATAGCTTTGAATTGCCCATGTCTCGAGACGCTACCCGATGAATTTCGAGTCGTACGGATAAAGTCCCTGGGAGAAGATAGATTTCGTGCGGAGGACGAAAAACGCGATAAATCGCGTTTTTCCGACGCCAAATTCAAAATGGCCGGCTTCCTGTACGTTATTTTATACCCCTCCAAGAGGCTTTTTGGTTTGTCTCCGCACCCTAGATATGCGTAGCGAGTTTCGTTCGTTTACGTGAAAGTTAAAAAACGGAAGTGGGCGTGGCCTACGCAATTTTTGACGCAAAGTTCCGGAACCGATTACACATCTGAAGTTGCACCACTTCTGACGCGCGTGCAACATTTAGTGAGTTTTCACATATGTTGCGGGGGTCAAAGGTTTATCGGTCGCGACCGATTTCAATAGGGTCTTCGCCGACCTAGGTCTCAGACCCTCATAATAGATTTGTATGGCGCCTTTCAAGGACCCAAGCTTTACAAACAAACAAACAAACAAGAGGGGCAAATAATAAAGTAAAACATTAAATAAATAGTAGTCGGAGTGGAAGCAGTGATCGGTTAGGGGTCAAAGGTCATACGTCCCGGGGTATTTCTAGGTCCCTATAATAAAGTAAAAAAGGTCAGATATAATGTAAGATGTGTCACTAACTGAATAACTGATGCCACCAGTATTACTAATCCTTCAGGTAATCTCATGTAACAGTGAATAATACTAACATGTTGTTAGAAAACTCTCCCTGGTCTCCGGCTTGAGCTTCAATCTCAGGATCCATGTATTTCTGATCCTCTCAAGAATGGAAGTAGTCAAAACAAAAAAAGATCATTTGTTGGTATCTGACTTTTTCACAAAATTCTGACTTTTTCTCAAAATCCTGACTTTTTTCCCAAAATATGAAAAATATGACTTTTTCTAAAAAAAATATGTATTTTTCTCAAATATGTATTTTTCTCAAAAATATGTATTTTACTCAAAAATATGTATTTTCCTCAAAAATATGTATTTTTCTCAAATATGACTTTTTCTCAAAATACGTATTTTTCTCAAATATGACTTTTTCTCAAAATTATGTATTTTTCTCAAAAATATGTATTTTTCTCAAATATAACTTTTTCTCAAAAATATGGCTTTTTCTCAAAAATATGACTTTTTCTCAAAAATATGACTTTTTCTCAAAAATATGACTTTTTCTCAAAAATATGTATTTTTCTCAAAAATATGTATTTTTCTCAAAAATATGTATTTTTCTTAGAATTCAGACTTTTTCTGAACACTTTAAAATGTTAATAATCCCTGGTCTCCGGCTTGAGCTTCAATCTCAGGATCCATGTATTTCTGATCCTCTCAAGAATGGAAGTAGTCAAAACAAAAAAAGATCATTTGTTGGTATTTGGTATCTGACTTTTTCTCAAAATCGCAAAATCCTGACTTTTTTCCCAAAATATGAAAAATATGACTTTTTCTAAAAAAATATGACTTTATAAAAAATATGACTTTTTCTAAAAAATATCAAAAATATGACTTTTTCTAAAAACATATCAAAAATATGACTTTTTCTCAAAAATATGGCTTTTCCTCTTTAAATGTTAATAATCACTGGTCCCCGGCTTGATCTTCAATCTCAGGATCCATGTATCTGTGATCCTCTCCAGAATGGAAGTAGTCATCACATACAGAGCATCAACTAGTTCCTGAACAGTGTCCTTCACATGCTGATATCCAAGAGAGGGAGTTACACAGTCACAAGATGGAGGAATAGAAAGCAGTATTCAATGTTTACTTCAGATTAGCTCCACGTCAGAAATGAGCATGCTTGATGTCTCTCTCCATAGAGGCTGAGTCATCATGTTAATCACATAGCTATCATATGCCTCAAACAGTCCTGATGCTCTTCTAGGTAATCATCAGAGGTGGGAGTAAGTCCTACATGTGCAAGTCATGAGCAAGTCTCAAGTCTTGACCTACAAGTATCAAGCAAGTCCCAAGTCACTGTGGTGAGAGTCAAGCAAGTCAAGTCAAGTCATTGCTCAGGTCAAGCAAGTCAAGTCAAGTCATTGCTCAGGTCAAGCAAGTCAAGTCAAGTCATTGCTCAGGTCAAGCAAGTCAAGTCATATGAAATTCTGATGAGTAACCCCAGTTTCCGTATTTAAATCAGTTAAAAGACAGTAGTTATGAAAATGGATTCAACCCACACTATGATCTTCATTACATACACAGTTAATCATTTGAAATCTAATTTAGACCGATGACAATCATATTAGATTCATATTAACCCTAGAACTGCAGACAATATAGCTAGGACTCAGTATAGCTAGGACTCAATATAGCTAGGACTCAATATAGCTAGGACTCAGTATAGCTAGGACTCCATATAGCTAGGACTCAGTATAGCTAGGACTCAATATAGCTAGGACTCAGTATAGCTAGGACTCAATATAGCTAGGACTCAATATAGCTAGGACTCAATATAGCTAGGACTCAGTATAGCTAGGACTCAATATAGCTAGGACTCAATATAGCTAGGACTCAGTATAGCTAGGACTCAATATAGCTAGGACTCAATATAGCTAGGACTCAGTATAGCTAGGACTCAATATAGCTAGGACTCAATATAGCTAGGACTCAATATAGCTAGGACTCAGTATAGCTAGGACTCAATATAGCTAGGACTCAATATAGCTAGGACTCAGTATAGCTAGGACTCAATATAGACTCAATATAGCTAGGACTCAGTATAGCTAGGACTCAGTATAGCTAGGACTCAATATAGCTAGGACTCAATATAGCTAGGACTCAGTATAGCTAGGACTCAATATAGCTAGGACTCAATATAGACTCAGTATAGCTAGGACTCAGTATAGCTAGGACTCAATATAGCTAGGACTCAGTATAGCTAGGACTCAGTATAGCTAGGACTCAATATAGCTAGGACTCAATATAGACTCAGTATAGCTAGGACTCAATATAGCTAGGACTCAATATAGACTCAATATAGCTAGGACTCAATATAGCTAGGACTCAGTATAGCTAGGACTCAATATAGCTAGGACTCAGTATAGCTAGGACTCAGTATAGACTCAGTATAGCTAGGACTCAATATAGCTAGGACTCAATATAGCTAGGACTCAGTATAGCTAGGACTCAATATAGACTCAATATAGCTAGGACTCAGTATA